ATTCCCTGTTCAAGTAACTAGAGTGAATCCGAGTGTAATGCGAGACGAAAGTTGTGCTCAAAAGTTGTACTCGAAAGTTGTACTCGAAGATGAGCAACCTCTCTTCGGGTTCACCGGTCGATCGGAGAGAAAAGGAGCGATGCGTGCGTTGTTTTTCTCCATAGTTATCGAACTTCTGAATTGCGCCACGCGTGCGGGGGAGAAGGGCCTGGGAAGTTCCGTCTCCACGCTGCAAGTTGTCACTCCATGGAAAGGTGGAAAATGCAGCAGCTTGAGGGTAGGAGCCAGCTGGTTGGTTGGTCGGTCGGTTGGCTGGCCGCACCCCGAAATCACTTGGACCGATTGGGCCTAGGCTTGTCGGTAGGCTCTGATTAGAACTTGGGCAGTTGGGAGCTGCTCCGTAGGCTGGCTTGGATCTTATGGCCTTCGGGTCCTGGGGTGGTTTGGGGTTCATTTAGGCTCAAGGGGCTGACATCCAGGCTGGTGGGGTTAAGCGGTTTTGGGCTTGGAGCTGATCGGTGGCCTTGGGCTTGCGAAAAGGGTGTCCTGTGAGTTGTGGGCGTCGAACAACCCACCCGAACCCCCAACCCAACCCGAGACCCGTAGACGCGCTTTCCTCAACCACCCCAGGATTAAAACCACCTCACTGCCACCCAATACGAGCTAGACCCCAGGTCCAAGTGACGCCGGTGATGCTGGGGATGCGAACAGCCCGTCTTTGGGCTGGTTTTTTTCAGAAGGAAAACCAAAGCCGAAGCTTCCATGGCGATGATGGTTGGATTTTGTGGTTCACTTGCTAGATATGAGGTCGATTGTTGGGATCTTCATCTTAGGTTTCAGAAAAAAGCATGGTGTAGACTCAAAGTCAGACTCCCAGATTGTCAAATATGAGGCACTGGGGATAAAAAGTTAGGCGTACAGATACGCCTTTGAGCCGGGACTGGGTCCCAAGGCTTTGGACGCTCTGGTCCATGTTTCCGTTCCATTCTGGTGCTGTCTCGTCTCTTTTTTCGCCGTGGTTTTGGGGGAAACGGCGTCTTCTTTCATCAAATGCTGTTCGTTTGTCCAGCAAGTCATGGGGGGAGGGAGGGGGGGGAGGCAACCGAAATTCGGCCTTAACCCTGAAGGGCTTACAGAGGCTGCCCTTCTCTCCCCTTATTTGGGGGAGGGTTCCCCTACTAAGATCGATCACCAAAAAAATCGGGTACCAGCTTATTCTAGCCTCACTGGGGGACCTAGGCCATTTCTTTGGCGCCCTCCCCTCCCTGCGAGAAGCTGAGAAAGCGGTTGCTGTCCTCGAGGCCTTTACGGAGGTCTCCGGGAGCCGGGTGGAGTCCGCGAGACGCCCAGCGCGTTCGCCGCGTTCGCCCGTTCGCCGCACCGTTCGCGCAGAGTCTTTTTGCCGGGGTGCCCCAGTAGTGCCCTGTTACCAGTGGACTGCCTCTCGAGATATATAAAAAAAAACACCACAACACGAGAGGCATAAAGGCACGAAGGCGGTAGCAGGGACATGCTGCGTATAAGAACACAGGAGTTGGTTGTGGTTGCAAGCCATTGTTAAACCAATAGGTTGGTAGGTGAGTGATGGTGGTCCTACGTCAGGTAAGCAGGCTACCCTGGTCACAACCGGTTGGTAAGTGGGGCTAGCTTCCCATGGCTTTAACAATACAAGTTGGTTCACTTGCCACCATGGAAACCTAAAGGTAGGTTGTCGGTACCAGGGTTACACCGGAGTGCAAGCCGCAAGCCGTTCAGTGGGTTGTCTCAAGGTGGATCTTGGGACGTCCAAAACGGCCCACCTGCAGCTCTGCACCTCCCAGGTCTTCTTTCTGGGAGATCCGAGCCTTCTGGGGGTCACATTTGCGGGTTTTTTGGGGATGCCGAGACGCGGATCCCACGAAAGCCAGCGGAGAGTTTTTGTTGCATTTTGCCAACGGATGTTAGCACTTTAATTTTTTGCCAACTCGTGGGTTTTCCATTAAACCACTAAAAGTTAAAAACTTTTAGCAGGGGAGCAGAAAGCAACCGAGGATAGGTTTTTTGCTCGGGGTCCAACGAAATTCGTATCGACCCATTCCGAGATCGACTGGTCCCACGGGTCCCATGGGTCCCACGCATCGAAGGCAGCAATCAGTTAGCTGACGGGCCCCTGCATTGTGGCTCGCCCATTTTCTGGGGCATCGGCAAATTGCGAATGGTCCCGTTGGGTTGTGTATGCTAACTCATTGTGACTCACTATAAACCTTGCTCGTGGCCTGCAACCACTACTGTGTAAGCCCTGTTGCAACTTACGTGTAACTCTCCGTTGCTTTCTGCTCCGCTGCTAAAAGTTTAACTTTAGTGGTTTAATGGAAAGAACATCCATTCGTTGGCAAAAAGCTAAGGTCCTAACATTCAAGCAAAGGTTACCACGTTTATACGTCAAAAGGTTGCCCCCAGTTGGTGGAGGTAAGATCAACTCTGGTTTCTGGTTTCGACTGTCTATGGTTTCCGAACCACGAAATTCGGACGTACCGTGGATGGACGAAATCCCTTCGCGCCGCGAAATGCTCAACCATGGTTGAAACTATGTCTTGTTTGTTTTTTGTTGGGAAATCGGGGAAACACAACACAATTCCCGGGTTTCTGACTTCGATGGTGCGAGATTCAAATGGATTTCGCAACCATTTACAGCAGTTATTGTCCGTTTTGGCCCCACCGGGACTTCGGGAAACCGGGCAAAAACAGCCCAGGAGAAACGCCTGATCAAGCTTCTCGTGGCTTCCACGTTTCCTTTCAGAGCGATCGGCTCGAGCGATGTGAGGTGGACCTCCTCCGTGACGGCGGCGGCAGAGCCACCGGGGAAGCCGTGATCATCTTCGCGGCCTTGTCGGGGCCGAATCACCGGGGCCCAGTGGCTGTGCTTGTCAAAATGAAACCATCGGAGGGGCAAACCGCAGGTTTTGGTACCCCTGTTTCCACTTACCAGGGTAACCCATTTTGGAATTCCGGTTTTTTGAGCCACAGCCAAGTGCTCTTGTCTGAATTGCCAGTGGCGTGAGCCACAATCAAAACCTGGGCAGATGAAGGTTAAGGGCCAGTCCCAGCCATAAATAGCTGCGGATATCCGGCTTCTTAATCCTGTACATGGTTCTGGGTAGACCATTTTTGTACCAGGTTTTGATTGTGACTCAAGTGCTCTTGTCTGGATCGCCAGTGGCTGTTTTGGTATGCACTAAAAACCCCAATAACCAGCAACAGCAACTTGGCTATCTACTGACACCCGGTCCCCCAGCGAGCTGGGTGCCCTTTCTCACCCGTTTCTTTTTTGGGGGAGGGTTCCCTACTAAAATAGACTAGAGAAAAAAAGGGTACTTTTATTCTAACCTCTCTAGTATAAGAGTGGAACCCGAACGGTTCAAGCCACATGATGTATGGCTGTGGGTCAAACATAGGTACCCAAAATTGAACCCTGAAAGTAGTAACATGGACTAAAACCTGCGGTCCCCTGGTGGTTTAGTCTTTGACTCGTATCCATATATGTGGAACCTATACCCGAACGTTCAAGTGAAAAGAATGGCCCCAGGCGACAGGGTTCCTCGGGGCCCAAGGTTTCAACTTAGATGATGACAATCCTGAATGGTACACAGTGGTGGTTGTATGAACCATTGAATTGTTTTAACGGTGGTTTGATGAGTGGGGTCATTTTGCTAGGCAACAAAAACCATGGAACCTCTGGGTGTCGATTTTTCACGGGGACACCAGCAGGAACACAGAGAAGGGCCATCTTGGGGGCGATCCAAGAAAACCATGATTTTCCCCGGTTGGTTTCCCTTTAAACCGACCATCAAGAGGGTACACCCAAATAAACCCGAAGCTTTGGGCTAAACAAGACACCCCCCCCACTTCCTTTTAAGGGGAAACCACATTTCGGTGATTCCATTTATAGGTAACCACGGTGAAAATTTGGGAGGCCAAATTCGGGAAAATTCGGCGAATTCCATTTCTAGAAACCAAATTCGGGAAACCAAAGTACAGGACACCACGGTGAACCCTTCAAAAGCGAAGAAGCCCAGATCTCGAGGCGCGATGCCCAGAACGCGGTGCGGCGCTACCATGGGGGCGACCTCAATGGCCGACGCCTGGAGGCGGCGAAAACGGGGGCGGGAGGCGAAGGGGCCTTTGAGGAAACCGGTGGCTCGGAGCCAGGCATCCGGTTCCTGAGCTAAAACGGCTAGCCTTTTAGAGCTTCGTGGGGATATGGCTTTAACCCACCAAAAGTTGAGCTTCTAGCGGGGGATCTGAGCCCAGGTTGGATTGTTAAGGGTCAGTCCCTCATTTGCCGAGCAGCACGTCATTCAGGGTATTAGGTTTTTTAGGGTTCTGGGGTTCTTGGCTGCATGTGTACATGGCATGGGTATGAGGGGGGCGGGGGTGTTGGGAGCTTGACTGTGAGCACGGGAACCGGGGGTCAAGTTTGGGATCTGAATCATGCTTTTCACCCCAAGGTGTGGCTCAAAGTTTAAGAGATTTCCGGAAGCTGACAGGTTTTAGTCTACTTTTCCATTTGCCAGGGTTCCATTTTGGAGCCCTTTGTTTCCCTGATGAAAGTACATATTTGGGTGTGTCCTTCTTGAGGGTAGCCCTTTTGGAGTGGTATGAAAGGGAAACCAACAGGAAACGCACAGTCTTTTGGAGATCCCTATTTCAAGACAAGCCCATTTGATGGTAAAAGTCCAGTTCAAGTTCAGAAGGCCATCTAAAAGGGGTGTTTCTCTTGCCCATGCTTGGCCGCTCATTGAGCGTGTCCTGGGTACACACTGAAGGCTTCGTCTAAAGGAGGATCCAAGGCTAGGCCCCCCCCAGTAGCGCCTTTTTACCCTTCTAGGGGGGAGGGTTCCTCTACTAAAAATAGACTCCAGCGAAAAGTTGGTACCAACTTCTTAGTTCTAACCTCTCTGGAGGACGATCAAGGGGACACCAGGAGATTTGGGGGTTCCGTCTGGTTTGAGACGGACCCAAATGGGTATACGGTATAGCTCAAAATTTAAGAGGTAGGGCAAACCGCAGGTTTTAGTCTCTGGTTCCATTTGCCAAGGATTTGCCAAGGTGCTGTTTTCGTTGAGCCACAGCCAACTCGTTTGGTCCCAAGCTGCCGACGCAAGCACCCCTTTCAACCCATCTCGACTTTCAGGCCACGTAGAAAAAAGGAGTCGGAGCCTCCCAAAGTGGGGGTTTTCCTTTGACCGCCAAAACAGGGGGGCCCCCTAAAGAAAAGACCAGCAACCAAAGTATTCATCCTTGTGGTGGTTTTGAACCTCGCCTTTTAAGGGCCATCCTTTTTGAACCTTTTTTGAACCCGGTCCGGTCCCCCTCGACACAAGCACAGCGAATCGTGCCCCCAGAGAACATCCCAATCCCCACTAAAACAGGTTCTAAAATGGCTGGTGCACCGAAAACCCCAAAATGGAACCATTGGTGTTGACCCACGGCCGAATCGCAGTGCGATTGTTTCCAGCGATCCTTGTTTAGAGCAGCTGGCCCAGCATGTCATTATTCAGGCCTGTGTGTTCTTTGCTGTTTGATCACGTGCCATCGATCGCCGGCGTTTCTTGCGATTCGACGTATTTGTGGTTGGACACATCGCGTCGCACCGCGGCGAATCGCACCATTTCGGGCAGCAACGACTGCGGCGCGGCCCGGCGGAGTCCGATTCGCCGGTCGCTGTCTGCTTAGGCCGTGTATGAGGGCGAGGTCAATGTGAGATGACACTCGGGGGCAGCCCAAGCTGATTTTTTTGTTCTTCTTCCTCTTCTTCCTCCTCTTTTTTTTTCTTTTCTCCGACAAGTACGTTCAATAGTGTTCATTGCAACATGTTAGACTTCAACACCCAACGCTTCCCATGTGGTTTGGATGGGGGTTTGAAGCCTTGGCTCTTGAGCCATGGGAGCTCTCCCGGCCACCCAAACCCACGAGCTGGATACCACTGCAGATTCTTGGGCACTGTGCCGCATTGGATCGCCCCGCGCAACATGTGCCACACACCAACTCGTATTTGGACGTTTCCACGGATGGTACTGGTGGACCAAACCCATAAAGCGCACCACCGTTCAGAAGCCCTGGCATGATTCGATTCCCTTGTAAATACCTTAAGCAAACAATGGCTTCAACTCCATGGTTTCCCAGTGGTGCGAAGTGGATTTCGCCACCCACGGCTGAGTTCCTTACAGGAGTTCCTTGTAAGGGAGGGCCATCAAAGGTCCGCTTCAAAGGACCCCCAAGCAGGTGTGTCTCAACATAGGGGAACCGGAACCCCCCCCCCCCCCCCCACAGGGATCCTTTCCGGATAACCTCCAGAAACCCGGGGAAAACGGATCCGGTTGTTGAAAAGAACGATGGTTGAAAAGAATGAGGCATCAACCCCTGGAATCACAGGTGTCTGTTTGTCTCCTGGTACAATTGGGCACTGGTTTCAGTTTGGTAGTCCATAGGGTTTGCCTCAAAACAGGGGGGACCCCCAAAAGTAAAAATGGGCGGCTTTCCTTTGAGATTCACACACACAGCCCCAAATCCATATGGCCATGGGTCGTAGCTTTTGCCTCCATTTTGGGCGGATGCGCACCCATGTACCCATGTACCGCCTATTCTGAGGATTTTTTGGGGGGACAGGGCTTTGACCCAACTCCCTATGGCCAGGAATTTCCATAGGGAACCAAATATTAAAAGTGATGGACACGAATCCCCAAATGATGTCCACAAAATTTTCCGGGCCCCGAAAATATTAAAAATTCGCTCGCCGCCAGCCCCCGCTATTGGAAGCTGGGGATCCCCCGGTGGCAATTTTTGGGCTCGGCTTCCTCGAGCCCCAGCCGCTGGTTTTGGTGAACTCATGTCCCAAAAGGCGATCGAGCAAGAAAAAAATGAGAAAAATATTTCTGGGCCCCGTCCGTATGTTTCTGGTGATCTTATGGATCCTGTCCCAAGAAGTTTGGAGCACCGATTTTTTTCGATTTCCGGGCCCCAAATTCTATGTTTGGGGCTTATAAAATCCGAAACCCATTGCTTTTACCGCACTGCAACGGCAGTTGCAGTTGGTGCCTACATCGAGGTCCCGAGGTTCAGAGTATTCCGGAGAGTAGGGGTGGGTGGTTGTTGTTGGAACGGGTTGGTTGCTCGTGTTTTGAACACAAACAACAAGAAAAGCTATTGTGTTTGAAAAGCTATTGGGCTGCCTGTGTCTCTCCCCGCACGTGGCAAGATCTTTCCGAGTCGGAATTTCCTCGAAAGAGGACAGTTCTGGACAGTGGCAATGCAAATTCCGGAGCACGGGTTGCATTTGAGGTAACAAGTTTGCAACTGTTTGTATGGCCCATGAGCTGAGGGCCTTTTGACAACATGGGGCGGCTCAAGCTCGGTCAAAGGGGCGGCAACAACCATCTTGGGTCCAAAAAGGCCCCACTGCGGGGAGGCGGGGAATGGGGAACACACGCGTTTCTGGCACATCCAATCAATACCGACCGCTGCCAGGAGCGTTGTTTAACATGTTGGCAAACTCCTCTTAGGAATCTTGGTGCCTCAAAAAGGGCCAATGTTGGTTGGGTCTGAACAATTCCGAGTGGGTTAGGTTTCCTGTGGCTTGCCTTTACCATGCACGCCAAGTTCGGGTTGATTTTGACTCAGACCCATTTGGGAGGCTTGGAAAGGTGATGTTTCGATTGGAGTGTCACTTCACCTACAAAGTGTCCCCAGCGGTTTTATTTGGTTTCAGCAAATCTTTGTGTAAACCTTGTCGCATTCCAGTCTGAAGCTCTATGTGCAACAGGCTGAGAGAACCTGGACATGTTTCCACCTAATTGTGTCACATGTCCGGTGTGGTACCGGATGGACCCCGTCGCATGTCTTTCAGGTCTTTTTTGGGGAAGCCAGACCCCATGTGGAGCTCAAACACGAAAAAAACAAAACATCTGTTCCTCCGGGATCCACGCACCAGCCGTGCGAAAGGGGTTCTAGGGCCGCGGGGCGTTGCGCCTTCGGTTTCCAGACCCACCCCGAAGCACCTCAAGTGCGCGGGCTCCGGGAAGAACTCGAGCGCAGAGCGAGCCGGAAGTGGAAAGAACACCAGTGAGGTTGTTAAGCCTAAGAATTGAGGTGCATGGTAAAGCAATGGTTTTAAAATTGACGAGGTGCTTTTAGAAAGCAAGAACACACTTGAGGTTGACAAAGACAGAGCATGGCTGTACAGAAGACCACGTTGTTTGGAAGCCCAATGTAGAGCCTCTGCAGTTTTCGTGTTTGGAGACACGCGGGTTTGGCGGCTTTCTATTTGCCCTCGCACGCTTCGCCTGCGTTCGTGGGTGACCATTCGCGGCCCTGTCAGGGCTGCGAGACCAGCGCGGCGTTAAAAAGCTGCACAGCTCACAAATGGCTCGTACTTGGGCGTTCGGCCAAGTTAGTAAGTTGTTGGTAACCCGGTTATAGCCCACTAGTAGCGGGATGAACCCAGTCATTCGTGGGATAAAGCACGGGTGGCTAAGCACTTGCTATCTTGGCCGAGCACCCAAGTACCACCCTCCAAGCGTGGTCCATTACCTGAACATAGGTGTCCTTTTGATCGCTTTGGGCAATGAAATTGATACCCATTTTAGGACCTATTTTAGTGGGGATTTGGATGTTCACTGGGGGTACGATTTGGATTTTGACCCGTGGCCATGTCATTAGGGACTTAGTGAGTGACTATCAGTCGGCACATGAAACCCCTGTCCATTTCCTGGTGGAACGAGTTTTGCCTGTGTGCACTGTTCCTGTTGGGCACAACTGATAACCTACGCAAGGTTCAACATAGTAGTCTTTTGCGGATCAGGTCTTGTGATGGAGAAAGAAATAAACTGGTAGCATCTTGAATTTATTCGGTTATACTGTGATAATTATGATTGGTTCATGGATAATGATTATTTGAAAGAATTTAGTGAACATAATGGGAACGATGTAAGATTTGACACACACAACCCATTTATTTTGTAAATAAGCGCATCTTTGGCTTTCTCCCCCCCCCCCCCCCATTCTGGAATGACTTGAGGCTCGAAACCTTCGCTGCCCGAAGCTCGAGCTCTCGGAGTTTTCTGGCGATCAGAAAATGGCTGATGCAGGGGTGGCTTTGAAAAGACCGATGGGTGACGGGGCATCCATAGCAAAGCCGGGGGCTGGGCAAATGATCGCAAACTCACCAAGGGTTTGTGAGGAACGAAGGTCCTGTCATGGGGGGAAAACCTCGTTTCATGTGTGTGATTTGAGTATGATTTACCCAAAGAGAGTGAGTCAACTGTGTCAGTGTTAGTTTTCATTTGCAACAGGGAGCTTGCTGTAGGTTGAAGCAGTTGACATGTGTTCATATATGTGTATATATATATACGCGTAATCATGTGCGCGAAGTCATGACAACAAAGAAACACGTAAAACATATTATTGGTTGTCTAAATGGCACCCAGCACTCACGGCTTTTTTTGGTGCCGAACTGAGTGAGAGATGGCGGAGTGGACCAAGTCGCCCCCCTATGGTGGCGATGGCAGCTCGTCAGAAGGGATTTTTGGGGAGGGGGTGTTGATCCATGGTACAAAACCGGTTTCAGGACCAACTTCTGTGATTAGAAAACTGTTTTTGATAGAGTGGTCAGTTCAGGGTTGTGGACAAGAACCCTCTCTGCCATAGTATATGACGACATTATGACTTTCATATGGTATATTATTCAAATTTCACCGGGACTTCTTGCCATCGCAGAATGTGGCCCTAAAACTCTGTACACATGCATAGTCACAAGTGGGGGGGAGGGGGTCCGATTTCTGGGCGAACTGGCCTATGGCCAGCAAAAGATGCCTGCTATTGCTAGTGAATACAATTTTTTGGGGTGGATTCAGCATTCTGTTCCACCATTCTTTTTTTCGACCAACACGTCCTTTGGTTTTTCTGAGGTTTGCCCCTCCGATGGTGAAAAAAAATGAGCCACACAAATCAGATCCCAAGGGCGACCGAATGTTGGCAAGCGAGCATGGACTTTCATTCGAGCATGGAACCTCCAAACACGCGGTGGTGAGGGAGAAACATGGTATTGTTCTTTGTTGGATTCCATGTTAATTTGCACTGGTAGCCATATCGCCCCTCTTCGTTATATGGAAATCATCCTTTGAGAAAATGGCAACAACATTCGGGGATGCCCGGCAAAATGGTCGACAACTCAAATTGGGACCATAACAAGACCCACGAGACAGGACAGCCTCGGGTCTGTCTAAAAAGGATCGGTTCAGATGCTAGTGATTTCTCAACAGAACCGTGGGGGGAAGGAGGTAAGGAATCTGCCTCTAAACCAATGACGTGTGAGAGGCCAACATGGACTGACTGGAAGAGCCTGCCATCCAGGCGTTTTGGGGCCACTTCAGTCTATGTCCAATTTTTTCAGGGACACGGGGACTCTCGAGATTTCCCACAAACCTAGGGTGACTCTCTCCACGTTTCCACGTCTGGGTAGCACGACCCACGACAACTGCTTCCGAGTTCCTTCGTAGGTTCGTTTCCACCACAAACCAGTGGACCCCTGAAAAAGTAACTCATTCCACCCACCCATCCATTCTGTTCCCAAAGAAACATGTGTGAACGATCTGGCAAGAAATATGGTGTCAGAACAAAGGGGAACACAGCGAGAAAGATTTGCACTAAGCGTCAGGGGACCCTCCATTCTGGATTTCCATTGGAATGGTTTGAACCTCCAAAAATTGCCTTTTTGCGGTGTCAAGATTCTTAGGGTGACTCTATTCCATGAATCCAAAACATCTGACATATGTTTGGTTTGGAGACCCCGGACTATGCTCACTGCCCACCTTGGAAATCCAATCTGATTCTTCGGTAGCCCTGTTTTTGCCCAAAGGGTCAGGAGCAAAACGGCCAAACGAAAAGAACTTGGCAGCGCCCTTCTTGGGATGATGGTCATCCTGGCGCAGATCCTCTCCTTGGAAACGCCGGGGCAAAACCGGCGCCGGGGTTGCTTGAAGGGACGCATGCGCCTGGACCATTTGTGCTATCAGGTTTGCTCGGAGGCCAAGCATGATTCGCTTGCCTCACATCGTTGTAAAGCCGTGAAGACGGGTTGGTCTTTTTGGCTTGATCATTTGTGCGGCGCCACAAAGCTCAGACCCGAAAGCCCAAAATCTCCCCAAGGGATCTCTGGATTTAACATGGACGAAGGGTACGAGCGAAATTGCAGGAAGGCTCCTAGGATTCCCTACACCTTCCATCTCCAATTTGTTGCCCTCTTCCCAAAAGAGCTGTTAAGACCTCAACACAAATTGGTCGTTAGGAAGATGTCCTGTTTCCTTAACAGGAACCGACTCGCAGAGTGAAAGATGAAAGCATCACTAATACCATGTTAGCAGCCACTTGTATCATATACACCCCCCCTCCAAGTACCCGCTTTATTAAAGGGCATTCTTTTTGGAAATCTGGTTTTCCACGGTAGAGTAAAGGGTCGACATCATACCCTGCAAAAAGTCGGTATTTGGAGTGGGGGGTATGCTGATTTAGCCAGCTCCTGTGGCTCTGCGTCACTATGAGTCCCAAAACGGCGCACAAGTGGTTTTTCCTTTGGGTTTCCCTTGACACAGCTACAAAAAACGGCCTGAGCCTCAGCAAACCCATGTTGGATTTTGAGGCCTCGGGTCGCTCGGTTCGGATTTCGATCCCCAGATTAGAACGCCGCGCTGAGGTGACTTCGTTCCCAGGCGAGAGGAAAGGAGCGTATGCGAAGTTCGAGTCTCTTGAAGTGATGGTGGGGGACTGCAGATGAATCAATCTCAGTTTATGAATACGGGGGGGGGGGTGTAGGTTGGATTCGCCAAGTGGCGAATCTCATCACTTTTCGAGGGGAGAATTCACCCCTATTTATCTGGGGTTGATGAGTATGGGGGTCAACGAGTCAAGAGGGACTAGGGAGCCCTGTTTCAAGCAAGATGAACCATGACGCTTCCTCTTTCACCTGACTTTTCTCCCCCTCCAAGCTGGTGAGTTTGATTGAACATAGGGCTTCCGCTCAGTTTGGTTCAGAAGACCCCCAAGGAGCGCAACTTACTGCAAGCGGCTTGCCGTTTTTCAAACCTATGTCTTAGGTCCCTCGGCCGATGCATAACTTGCCGGCGCAAGCAGGGGTCGACTCGCCTGAGCATCACGAAACGACACCCGCCGGTCCTTTAGCCGCTTCCGCTTTGAGCCGCGGCCCGAGCCCATCGCCGAGCCGATCGCCGACTCGCGATCGCGCTCCCGCCATGGCCTGCGTTTGCCTCGCCAGTGGGCAGGAGGTGATGACAGTCGAGGACTTTGCTCGGTGGTGGGACGAGACTTCTGAGCAGCGGGAATGTGGTGCAATCGCTTCCGATTGCAACTGGGACTCGTTTTGTGTGTGTGTGTGTGTGCGTGAGCGTTTGCTATTATTGATTTTCCATTTTTTGAGGCTTGTTGGTGCCCTTTTTGGGTTCAAGGGGAACTGCTCGGATTTTGTTTTCGTTTTGGAGGTGTGGTGCTTTGTTTTGGTTCGGTTCAAGGGACGCCACTAGGAAAATCCTTTGGACCTAAGCAGCTTGAAGATCAAAACTACGAGGTTTCGCTCGAAGGGCGACTGGGTCGATCCGATTTCGACGGATCCGATTTCGACGGGTCTCTCAAGGCCCCTGGCAAAAATCCTTGACCTGACCCAGCCAAAATGGCGCTTTCTGGTTTTCCTAAACCAACCAAAAAGGGGTACCTGGACCCTCAAATTGGCCATCAAAAAGGAGATTCACCCAAGAAATTGGAGGCTTGTTAAGGGAGTTTTGAGGGTTCAGGTACTGACATGCCCATTTGTTTATCGGCTCGATCTTGGCTTCAGAACCCGGGACACACTTGACGAGTCAACGGTCAAGGCCCTTGACGAGGTGTCAAGGGTTGGATGCCATATAGCCAGATTCTTTTTTCAGGTACATGAGAGTCTCTCCCTTTCTCCCTCTCTCTCTCTCTCTCTTTCTCTCTCTCTCCAACTCACTCCCGAAAAGGATTTCCAGTTCTCGAATGATTGCAAGCCGATGGCGTCGTCAAGGGATCGAAAGGCGAGGCCACAACACCAGCGCGTGTCCAAGACCACATAAGAAGCCCCCTGATGGTTCAATTTTGATCCATATTCAGATAAAGAGGAATGTGTCCAAAAAGTAAATATAAAGTAATCTCGCCACGCAACTTTGTTCAAGATCCCAATAAACTGGGGCCATTATTTCGACGGTTTCTCGGGGTCAAAGTCAGAAAATGGGACTGTTTCCCTTTAACCCACCACTTCGGGGATGACTTTGGTAAAATAATGAGGCCAGATAGACGAAAAGGACTGGCCCCTACGGCCTTCAAACCGGGCGGTTTCCCCCGCCCCTTCTGAGATCCGTTTCTTTCGCCACATGCCGTTTCTAGCCTCTCGCCTTTCCTGGCGCGTTTGGGCAGGGATCCCTTAGGTGAAAAACGAGTTGCGACCACCGTTGGTAGTTGCTATCTGTAAAAATAGGATGGTCATTTTTGTCATATCATATCATGATATATCAAATTGTATATGAATTATATCGTATAGTATCATATCATATTATATTATATGATATTATATTATATTAGGCCATGAGCTTAACACAATTATTGTACTATATTGTGTTATACTATATTGTATTATATTGTATTATATTGTATTATATTGTATTACATTGTATTATAGTGTATTATATTGTATTATATCATACCATGTTATATTATGTTTTCAATTTTATTACATATTATAACACATTATATACATGATATTATCTTATGGTTATTGTATTATATTATGTTATACTATATGTTGTTACAAGTTATTGTATTATATGTTGTTACATTATATTATTATTCTATATTATAGTGTGTTATATCATATTATGTTACATTATATTGTACTGCAGTATACTATACTATATTTTATTATGAAATTTTATAGCATAATTTGTTATATTATATTGTATCACAGTATATTATACTATATTTTATCATGATATTTTACCACAATGTATAACTTGTCATTCACTTTTTGCGGTAACACTATAACCTTATACCTTATATTGCGTTATAGTGCTCATGTTATATTTTGTGTAATGCATTGTACTATTTTGTAATATGATACATGATATTAGGCACATTTTGTATATTATATATATATACATACATATATACTATATATATATATATATGGTCACACACCCCCCCCCCGGGCCCACCTTTTTCCTTTTTGCGCATATATATATATATATATACATACATGTAATGTGTATTGATATATCTATATCTATATCTATATCTATAACTCTATATCTATATCTATATATATATATATCTATAACTCTATATATACATATATGTACATGTTCTACTATTCATCCGCCCAAGGGGCGAAGGTAGACCGACGCCCTGCCCTGGGGCCGAGGCTTCTGCGACGCGCTGCGGCGGGAGGTGGCGAGGCGGATGCAGCTGGGGAACTTCCGTCAGCTGCGCCTGGCCGCGGAGCAGGCGGTTCGGTCGGCCGAGACGCGCGGCGCGCGGTGGTGTGCGCGGAGCAATGGGGCCGTCAGAGGGGTGGTTCCATGTGAGTCGTTTTTGTGTTGGACCCAGGTGAGTTGTGATAAGTCAACCTAAAATAAGGCACCAAGCAAGGGGTATCCTCAGAAACAGGCATGAGGGTTGATCCATAGTCCGTTCGGCCTTAAACAGACCATGGTCGCAACTTTCTCCCAGGTGAGCATCGACTCCTTTTGTGGTGGCTTCCCTAGTGGTCACCCCATGTAAATTAAGACCTTTTGATCAACTCCGGAGGCCAATTCGGGGGAGCTTGCATGTTAGTCTTTACTTGGGATTAACGTTGGGGTGGTTATTTAGATGTTACTTGCTGGGGGGATGTCCGGGTGTTGGGAATGAACTGGATGGGGATTCCCTTAAAGGAAATTATCGTATAAGGGTCATTCCCTCATTCCCTGCTGAGAACCAGTAAGGATCCTGAATCATTATACTCATTTCTGGGAAGGGAAGCATGTTTTGACCCTGGCACATGTGGGCCTGTCTTTTTCTGGCTGCCAACCCGCACTCGCACCAAAAAACAAGAAGGCGCCTCCGCAGGTGTTCGACCTCCATCCGCCGGTTTTCGATCCTCACAAATTTCGGGGCCTCGGGGGCCTCAAGCCGTGTGTTCAAAGCGAATCGACCTTTGGACCTTTTGGTTTTCCCTTTTTGGCCCATTTTTAGCAGAGGTCCCAAAAGGTGATCACCTTTTATTCCCAGGTCCTTTGGGCAAGGGAGAAAAGAAAACGCCGCCCATGGGCCCTGCCGTAGCGAGCTTACCGATTCTGCGGTTCTTCCGAACGGATGTAGGTCCCAGGGACCTTTTTTTTTTGGCACTGGACCTTGAACCTAGGGGTTTCCTGGAGAAGTTCAAGGTACCTTCGAAGAGACCTTTCATGCTTACCATGTTCTTTTTTGGCAGTTGGTCAAAAATAAGGGAACCTCAAAAATAAATTGCCCTGGTAAATGGAGCCAAGGACAGACACTTGCGCCCCTCTGGTGATTTGATGTGACCCGTACCCATTTAGAGGAGGGTCTGAGTCTCGTCCTGTTGTTTCGGATGAAGTCATTTGCGAGCAACATGTCTTGCCCAAGTCCATGATTCTTCGCGGACATGTGTCAATCTGTTCGCGCGAAAAGGTTGCAAATGGAGCTCGCATCGGGCATACGCCAGTTAGAATGCCAATCTCACCCCCCCCAAGGTGGGATTCGGTCGCAGTGTTGATTGGGGCCCCTCCAAACTGGTCCATGTTCGATCCACTTCCTGTAGCTTAAGTAGGTTGTAACCGTAGTGGTATCTGGTGGAATGTTGACCCCGTACTAATCAACCCCAGCTTATGGATTGGCTGGGAAATCTTCGGAATTTCCCCGACCAGTCGACTTTTTGAGCTTTTTTCGCCATTTCGGGCATTGCCATTCTTAGTGGCTCCAAAATCCCCTCCCTTCCCCGGTCCCTTCAGGAAGTTGATCTTCCAGGTAGCTTCTGAGAGGTGAGGATCACCTTTCAGTTTGCCGTAGGATGGGTTCCCATTTGGGTGCTCCAAATTAAACGATCGGAGGGGGTTGCCAACCGCAGGTTTTGGTACCCATGTTTCCACTTACCAGGGCAACCCATTTTGGTACCTTTTTGTTTTTTGATCCACAGCCATTTTTTTTGTATCTCCAAAAGCTTGGGTCCCCATCCGGGGCCCCCCTGAGACAGGAGGTGCTGGGACCAACAAGCCACTGGCAAAACTCGGGGCCTTTGGTGGCGGTGCTGCGGCCCTACCAGGCAGGGAAGCCTTTTCGCCGACCTCGGCTAAGGGGCGGTTTCCCATCGAAGCCATGCCCCTAGACTAGGTCCTTTAGTGCCCTTCTCTCTCCTTTTTGCCGGGAGGGTTCCCCTAAAATAGACCCAAACAAAAATGAAACGGTACCATTTTATTCTAGCCGAACCTCTACTGGACCTAGTTTGTAAGGGGCTGTATGGCCGAAGCCAGTTGCCCCTTGAGCTGCATAGGATTCCCGAGCCAATGGTCTCAGAGCTTGGGGCTTGGGACACGGAAGGTCTTTCTAAGATTTGGCGTCAAGCCCTTGGTGATGTGGCTGTGGGTCACCTTTTAGGGGCCCAACAAAAAGCCCTGGTAAATGGAAACATAGAATTTTGACCCACACCCATGTGGATTGGTGGTTTGGAGTTGAATCCCTGGTTCCTGCGGGCGCATGGGAAACCAGGCCCCCAAGCACCAAACCACTCGTGCCAATTAGAGAGAAGAAGCTGATGGAGAGAGAGGCCCCGAAGAGGGTTCGAACTTTCAGGGAGAGGGGTGGGCGTTTCGCGGTTTTTCTATTCTCGCTTGGGAAACACCGGGTCGCTTGAAGGATACTTGAGCAGTTCAACAGTCTTACTTTTGCCGGCTGGTTTAGAGAATCCCCCTGCAACGGAGTTGGTTTTGGGATGTACTCTGCAAATTAACATAGAACTATGCAACGGGCTCCAAATCCCAAAATGGAGTTTCCATGTCAATCTAGGTGGGATGCATCCTTCTGCCTCTTAAAGGGTCCTTCAATACGGGATCCAATTCTTGTTTCAGACCTCAACAAACGCAGGTTGTGCCCCCTTCCAACCTTCTCGAAAAGGCTTAAGCAGGTTGAAAATCTAAAGGCAGGCTTGCCCCGTTTTCCTTTTGGGAACCTCTGAAAGTGGCGATCGTTTCAATGGACACCACCCGTAACTTGATCAACTTTGAGGAAAACATCCAGTCACCCCTGTGGATGCACGCAATCCATTTCGCACCACCTGACGAATCGTTTTTTTTGTACTTACCGACAAACAATGAACTATGGTTTCATTTCCTGGCGCGAAATGGATTTCGCAACCATCCACCTGATCAATCAGATGCCATTTCTTGGGCGGAATGCCCTCAGGAAGCCTCCAATGAGCAGCAGGTCTTTCGGGCAGTCCATGATCTTGGATGGTACCTCGGAGATGTGCTGAGCCCATCTAGGTCCCCCGGTGCCCTTTTACCGCTTCTTCTTTTGGGGAGGGTTCCCCGAAAATAGACTACAGAAAAAAGGGTACCCTTGTTCTAACCTCTCTACTGGAGGACCTAGCCATGATAAAAAAAGAAAGAAAAAGAAAAACACACCTGCTCCAAGACACGCTCTTTTTTCTTCATTTTTTTCTTTGGGGTATCAAGTCATCCCCTACTCCTTGGAACGCCATTTTTTTGTCCAACAGGGGGTGGGTGTGTCTTTCTTTGGAGGGTATTTTTTTTTGGATTGGTAAAAACAGACACCAAAGGGAAACAAGCCCATTTTGGGAACACCGCTTGACCCCTACCACAAACACAACATCCAGGGTATGTTCCTCTACTTTTGTACCATGGTACTGGAAAACCAGGGGGTTTAGGGCCGCGTTCTATGATACTTAGAGCTTCCCCTGGAAAGTGATGAGGCAACGGAATGACCCATGTTGGTCGTGCGCCCCTTTGAATTGTGTTCCACAACCGCAATAGACTCCCTAGGTTTTTAGGGTTCAGTGGTAGTCTCCATTGAACTCACTCAACGTAATCCACTTGTAGCTGGGGATCAGAAGAAAGGGAAGCCCAGATTTGAGAAACATTCGTTTGGACATGTTCATGCCTGGGTTCAAATGTTTTTTTTTTTAGGGGACGCTTTTATAGTGGTTGTCCTTCTGCTTTCCCTACCAAAAAGGGGCGAGCCACAAACTCCAACCCGGTCTCCTTCAAATATGGCCATATAGAGTTTATTAGGGGGAAAGGGGCGGGGGTAAGGAATGGGGGACTAGGGAGCCATGGTGAAGGCTGTACTTCTGGTCTTCTGGTGTCCCTTATGCGGCTCGTGGCTCGAAATCAAACAGGAAAACCCAAGCCGAAGGTTTTGGTACCCAATTTTTCCACTTACCGATCGGGCAGCCCATTTTGGAAATTTCCTGTTTGTTTTTTGGTTGCCACGGCCACAAAGGGCCACAGCGCATCCGTCCGCGGTTTCCCCCGGCGTGAGGCTGATCGAGCTCCTGGAGCTGCCCTTGGACCCAAACACCGAGACCGGGCAAGGCTCCACGCCGCTGCTGCACCTGGTGGCAAAAGGCGGCCTGGGGGTACGGCCGGAAACGGCGGGGTGTTTTTTGGTGCTTTCGTTCCTGGTTTTGGGGTGCATTTTTTTTTTGGTTCCGCGGAAAGCCACGGCTTTAGTCAGGGCGTCGGGTTGGTTTATGTCCTTGCTCGTTTGTTTCTTTCGTTTTTCTCTCCGATAGGGGTTCTGATTTCTCAGATAGCTGAAGGCTATAGGAGGCTGTTTTGCGAGTTCAGCCAGGTTGGCTGCAAAGGTTACTGGTGTTGGTTGTTTTGCAATGCAGGGTGCTGGTCACGGTGCTGTAAGGGGTGAGGGTGCTGTTTGATGTTGTGCGGGAGCAGGTGTTTGTGCTGCTTGTTGGCAACGCAGGGTGCTGGTACAGGTGCAGGTCAGGATGCTAATGTTGACACAGGATTCGTAAACCCGCCCCATTATTAGGGCTGTGTTCCCTCCAGAAGTGGTCTGAATCCAACCACTAAAAGGACTTGGACACCCCTCAATCAAAATCAACCAGGGGTTCTGCTTACACCCCCGCAAACAAACATATTGAAAAACAAGAAGGAACCATGTACGGCTTTTTTTTTTTTGCATCGGCAGGGTTAACATCAGTCAGGCTGCTGTTTGGCAAAGGTGGGGTGGAAGTTGCTCATGGTTCACCTCTTTGGTGGGGTAGTTGCTGTTTGCCATCACAATTCTTTGCCAGAATTAGCTCTCCTTTTTGATTTTTTCCGCTTTTTCGGAGTCCGCTTTGTTTTCCACTAACCAGGCACTAACCAGGCAAGTATATATATATATATACATATATTTTGCTGGGGTCCTAATTCCAGCCAAGAATTTGTGATGGTTGCTGCGGGTGCTTGTTTGCCATGCAGCCGGGGTGCTGGTAAGACGGGTGCTATTGCAATCGCAACCATGCTACCTGGAGTCTATGCTGTGTTTGGTCTTGTTTTTTTTTTTTTTTTGGGGGGGGGGGGTAACCTGTCCGTCGGTTGTTACAGGGAACCCCAGGAAATCGAAAAACCATGTGACAAACTGAGGCGGGTACTTGGCGGCTACACGCTGCTTGTTGGAGTCTGGTGCTGACAAGAGCAAGCCCAATGCCTCTGGCGAGACGCCTTTGCATTTGGCCTGTCACCGAGGTCATTTGCAAGTCGTGCAGTGCTTGCTGGCTGCCGGTGCTGACGCGAACCCAAGCGACAGTTCTGGTGCCACCCCTATGCATTGGGCGTCTTTTGCAGGGTATTCGCAAGTTGTCAGCTGCTTGCTTGGTGCCGGCGCTGACAAGGACAAGCGTGACATGTCTGGTACGGCCCCTTTGTATTTTGCTGCTGAGCGAGGGCATCTGGAAGTCGTGCGTTGCTTGCTGGATGAGGGTGCAGGACAAGGGCAACGCGTCTGGCCTCACACCTGTGCATGTGGCTGCTCAGCAGGGGTATTTGGAAGTCACGCGTTGCCTGCTGGATGCTGGTGCAGACAAGGACAAGAGTAGCAAGTCTGGTGCCACCCCAATGCATTTAGCTGTTGCGCGCGGGCATTTACAAGTCGTGCAGTGCTTGTTATTTGCCCGTGCTGACCAAAACAAGGGTGACGCACTTGGTGCCACGCCGATGCATTTGGCTGCTCAACAAGTCAATGCGGCCGTTGTACGTTGCTTGCTGCTTGCTTGTGCGGATAAGGACAAGGGCAATGAGTCTGGTATCACCCCTATGCATTTTGCTGCTCAGCGAGGACATTTGGAAGTCGTGCGTTGCTTGCTGGATGCTGGTGCAGACAAGGAGAAGAGTAGCAAGTCTGGTGCCACCCCTATGCATCTAGCTGCTGAGCAAGGCCATTTGGAAGTCGTGCGTTGCTTGCTGGATGCTGGTGCAGACAAGGACAAGGGCAACGAGTCTGGCGTCACACCTGTGCAGGTGGCTGCTCAGCAGTGGCATTTGCAAGTCGTTGGTTTGCTGGATGGTGACAGGCTGGTGGAGTCTTCAGCCTCTGACCCTGGCGCAAAGACGAGATCATCAAAAATTGCTATGGAGCACCCCAAGCATCAAACAAAAAGGATTTTCATGTTTTTCCTGTGGCCACCGTCACTCAACTTGCTCGTCTAGCCTTTCCTTCAAGGGAATCCCTAGGTTCATTCCCAAACCCTGGGTTATTCTGAGCGCCAGCGAGTAAAGTGCACGGACTTCCCGCCACAGGAAACTGGGGTTAGTGGCTGAAGCGGCACATTGGCCCCGTGCTGGCATCCGGCCTCCCCCTTGTTTCCGCGGCGGGAGGGGGTTCTCAGAAAAGGAATCGGCCGTGGCTTCCCTTTTGGTTTCCCTTCACATGAGCCACTTGCTCAACACCGTAGATAGAGGTTAGTAAGGGAGACTAGAGAATGAAACACTCGTTTGGTTGGAGTCCCCGACAAACACACTTTGAAACCTTGGCCAGAATGAGCTAAGCTGAAAGCTGAGGCCACCATTGAACCGCACATTTTGCACGCGACGAGGCATTGTTTTTCTTGGGCGAAGTCGACGCTGAAGGTTAAAGTTCCTGGCATGGTCGAATGCTGACATTTCCGGGTGAAGCTTCAAGGGTGGGGGGATCTTCCCATTGTTTTGCAGCAACCGGTGACCGGTTCAACTGGCTTCCATGCGAATCACGAAAAGCGAAGAAGGGGCCTGTTTCCCAATGTGATTGGGGGCTAGTGGAAACCCTCATACTTTGATGTTCAACCCATTTAGTGTTGAGAGTCAACACCATTCAAACTGGTGTAGTTGGGGTGTAAAAACTCACTTTCCATGGATTTAAGCTACTTGAGAAGCGAGTTCCACATCCAAGTGCCACAACCACCTTGGCCTAGTTTAGTTTTACCCGAAATACCATAGTTATAACCTACTCACTAAGATCCCACATCCAAGTGTGTAAGCAAACAAGAGTGCTTCATGAAGTTCTACGGTTTCCGCATCATAGTAGAAGCACCCCAACCACAACAAATCGGCTTTCTCCGTGGGTTTCCACTTCAGGTTAAAACCATGTGGACCATAGGTGTCCTTTTTGGTTGGTTGGTTGAAAAATAGCGGGCCCTGGTTTACCTGGTGGTTCAATCATCTACCAGGGCCACCTACTTACGACAAAAAGGACACCTATGATGTGGACGAACCAATACATTTTTTGTCAGGCAGTCGTGCCCTTTTACCCTTTTTGGAGGGAGGGTTCCCCTACTAAAATAGACAAAGCCAAAAAAAGTGGGGACCCCAAACTTCTAACCTCTCAAATCAGGAGGATCTAGCAAGGGAAAACCACCAGGGCTCGGGTTCTAGGGATTTTCAGATGGCCCGTTTTTTGGGGCCCCGGACCGCCCAAAATCTGGCTCAGGAAAAAAATCCCCAGGTACTCCGCGGCCTGCTTCTGCCGGCGCGTGCGCTTCACAGTGAGCAGCCCGCCGTTGACCTCCAAGCGCCCTGGCAGGGAGGTTTCGAGCGGGGAAGGCGGACTTCATACGGCTGCTCAACAAACCGGTACCGAACTGCCCCGGGTTGAGCCCCGCCTTTTTTTGTTATTCTTTTTTTTTCCTCCTCTTTTTTTGGAGCCCCCAGAAAGAAACCAGGGGCATGACTTTAAATGGGGAAGAGCTACCTCCACAAAGTCCCATGGACAACTTGGCGAGGTCCAGCCATAGCTCCGGGGTTCAGTTACCACGAACGAACTTCCAGAATTAGCTCCCCTTTTTGATGTTTTTCGCTTTTTTTGGGGCCCTTTGTTTTCCACTCACCAAGCAAAAAAGTCAACTTTTGGCCGGGGTCCGAATTCCAGCCTAGCAACATGGGTTGCCCTGGTAAGTGGAAACATGGGTACCAAAACCTGCTATTTGCCCCTCCGGTTGAATTTTGAGCCACAGCCAGATGAAGTTCAACCAAGCAGTTTCATGAATTCGGGGGGGCGGTTTTGGCCCCTCCGAAAGTGGTCTGATGCCCGACTAAAGCCAGGGTGCCCCCCCTATGAATGGTTGGGTTAACGGTTATTGATATGATATGGGGTCAACATAACCACCAAACCAAACCACCGGGCTCCAAATCACCAATTGGAAGGAAGCTAAAGATGGTTGTGCCTGTTCTTGAGGCTCGGCAACTCCTGTTTCTCCTAGCCCACATCTACCTGGTTTTGTGGGCGCTGTTCAGGTGGCCGTCTTCTTGGTGCGAGATCGGTAGGGAATGGCGTTGAATGAACCCAGGCTTTGGTCCCCAAGAAAATCACCAGTTGGATGGTTGAAAAGGGGCATTCCATGTCGCATTCCCTGCCTATCGCACCAACAAGTGCTTCCTCTTCTCTTTGTGTGTCTGGCCGTGGCCGATCTGGTTGAAGGTAAGCAAGGTTGTGAAGAGCGCTACCCGCCAGTAAAACCCGAATTCCCGTGCGCAGAAGGATGAATTTTGTTCACACTCGTCACCGCCCAAGCCTCTGACGTGCCGACCAGAAAGGACCAGCCGAAACGGGTTGAGTTGTTTTACCTGGTTGCTGTTTGGGGCCACAAACATATCCAAACCAAACCCCCGAACAATGCGGCAGGGTCAAAGACGACCCCAAGTTTAGATCGTGTTGCTTGAAGTTTGCCCTTGAAGGACCTAGGTTGACTAGGTTGATGGCCCCTTGACAAAATCAGGCGGCAAAGTAAGGGACCACGCAGAACCAGCTCCCAAGTCTTGGTTTCACGTTGGTGTCCAGCGCCCTGGATTGCCATCCGTCGCCCTCACGTTTTTGGAAGCAAGCCCGCGATGCCCGGCTAGGTCCCCCAGTAGCGCCCTTTTACTAAAATGGACAAAACCGAAAAAAGTCGGGTAGCCTTTTTCTAACCTCTCAAATCTGGAGGCCCTCGATGCCCGGCATCCCAAAGCCAAGGCTTTGCGACTGCAAAGTCTGCCAAAAGCTCCACGGGGCACCGACTCAGTGGGCCGCCCTCTTCCGAAAGCCCCAGGCGAGAGGGCTTCGGAGCACGCCTTCGTGGGATTTTCCCTCTCCTTTTTTTTGGGGTGTGTGACACTGTTTTTTTTTTGGAAAGGACCGGCGGCTTTCCCTACAGAGGAAAAGGTGAACAACAAGTGTGTCCGCTGGTGGGAAGAGAAACATGTGGATAAAATCATGTCCGGACTCCAACTGAACCATTCCAGGTTTGTTAGGTGGCGCAGGATTTGGTCCATCCAGGGTATGGATTGGTGGTGATGCTGGGGCTGGTGATGTCAATGGTGCGGCTGTCTGCTGGTGTTGTTGGTGATGTCGGTGATTTGTTTGATGTGATGTGCCGTAGATGGGCCAGTCACAGGTTAAGCCAAATTTTGGCATCAACGCAGTGCAAGGCAAGTCATATGTTTTAGTTTGTTCTTGCTTGCTTGCCTGAGTGTGGCTCTGTTTTGCTAATCTACCAGGGTTTGGGAGCAACGTTTAGCAACCGGTTCGGTCCATGTCTCGTGCGGTCCTTCAATTTTGTGGCATGCAAGTTTGTCAGTGGGATGAGTGACTCACGCTTGGCAGCCAAATGGCTTGGCTATGAGGTCATAAACCTAGAAACCCCCAGTTTGTAGAAGGTTGTTCGGCCAAGTTAGTAAGTGGTTAGCCACCTGGGTTACAACCCGCTAATGACTGGGCTAGCCCCACTTTTTTTGGGTTATAACCTAGGTTACCAACAACTTATTACAAGTCGGTTTTTGCCCTGCCTCATCTTTTCGAGCTAGAAAATGGGTGGCTCGTCTTTTTCAGGTTGTACCCCCCCCCCCCCCCCCCAAAAGGCAGTTGTTGGTTTTCCCTTTGGTGTTGCTTTTTATTGCATCAAGAAGGGGTGCCGAGCCTCAAGACACGCGCAACTGGGTTTGGCTTTCATTGGTCTATCCCATTCAACCGCGGCCTGCTGTAGGAGTAGTGCCTCTCTGAAGAGATCCTCAAAAAGCCATCGACGCATCTAGTCGGTGACACCTTTGAATTTAAGCTATCCATCAGATGGGGTGTGGGCTATCACTTCTGGAAAGCTCAGAGTCTATGAACACCGGCCCAGTTGACACTTTACTGCCAAAGCTGGCAAGAAGAAAGACTCTATTCTATGTTTGCGGACAGGAGAGCTTTCTGTTGGAGTGGTATTTGGGAATGCTCTATAACATCACTCCCTGTAACCATCTCTCCTTGCCTTTTCCCAGTTGAAATAGAACACCCCTCTCCCATGTTGAATCACCCCCCCCATTTGCATGTTCAACCTACTTAGCAGCTCGCAATCAGGATTGTCAGTCAGCAAATACCTGCTGTTTCACACCTACTCGCCCGCGGGTTGAACATCCGGGTTGGGCAAGAAAATGGTGCCCCAAATATGTATATATATATATATATGTATGTATATATACACATATATATATATATATACACATATACATATACATATTATGATGGTTTTCCTGTTGGTTTCCCTTTAACACCGCAGAAGAGGGGTACCCTCAAAAATAGACACCCCCTTTTATGAACAGGGGGTAGGCTCAACCTCAAGCTACTTGGCTCTGATTTTACGAAACCGATCCGAAAGTGGTTGGAGAAATCCATCTTTCGACTTCTGATGGCAGGATCCGTGCGCCAATCAAATTCATACCCCGGAGTTCTGGGTTTCAGCCGCTTCAGGTGAGTCACTTGCTCAAAACCCGGTATTTTTTCTGGTCATAGTCCCAGAACCATGCTTCCAGAATTAAGGCGGAGATCCGCAGCTATTTATGGCAAGGGGATTCTCCCTTGCCCTTCATCTACCCGAATCGGATTTGAGCAAGTGGCTCAGGTGCGCTTCGAGAGCAGTTCCTTCAACTTCTTGCGGTGGTATCACACCTCCACGGACACCGTGTGCACCAACGCGGCGGCAGCTTTGCCTCAAGAGTCGGGCGCGACAATCAAACGGAGAAGATCCACACAAACTCCCGCGGGTTTCGTGTGGACATCAAATCCGGGATTACTCCCTTTTCGTTGCTAAGCCCAACCAAAGAAGATTAAAGGCTTGAACTTGGCGGTTCCGTGCCGGTCCCTTGGGTTTGTATATTATTTTGGTTCAGTGGGGTTTCCATTTCACCCACTAAAACTTAAAACAAATACCCAAAAAGAACACAAAACAATTTGGCAATCTGAAAACGGACAGCCCAGTTGAGAGAAGCCCAGGTGGGAAAGGATCGGGTTCCCATCAGACTCCAAATGCAGTACCCTCCTCGACCCATGAAATCTCGACGTAGGTTCCATGTTGGCCAGGGCTCCTTAAAAGATCTCCATTTTGCCCATTTGAAACGTGGCTTTTTCCCCCAAAATAAAGGGAACCCACTATTTACAAGGCAGTGTTCAGGTGTTTTTCATGTAAGGATCCCTGTTGGGGTACACGGAATATGAACCATCACAAAGTAGGTTGTCTCTAGTCGCACGAAACCCCCAACTCGCGTTGCTCGGGCAAACAGCTGTTTGGAGCCGAGCCCGTTTTGTTTTTGGAGTGCTTGGGGAAAAAGGTCGATACCCCGTTTTGGGAGCCGCCATTTTTTTGGACTGGTGATACAGCTGAAGGGTTCACTTACGTCCCATTTCCCTTTGAAGGTCATGGGATCTTTCCAAAAAGTATCCCCACCCCTTTATCTCACCCAGCCAGTGGACACACTTGTCACCTTTTTCCTTGGTGGCTCTCCCTTTATTTTAGTGGTGGCCCAAAAAGTGTACAGTTTTTTTTTGGCTGGTCACTGGCCAAGTGAGATAAACATGGAATTGCGGGAGGGGGTGACCCGGTTCAGTTTCCTTGTACGGGGAAGATAAATAGAGTTGGGGGGACCTACCCCTCTGCCGTAGGGGGGGGATCAAAAGGTGATGTTTTGAAGGGGAAGATTCCGAGAGTTGGAGTTCGAGTGGGAGGTCCCGGAGTCCAAACCGGTTCGATCTTTGGTACTCACGGGAAGGCCGAAGAAAAAAGGCCGGAGAGATCAGTATCTCGTTCGCATGTTGCGGGGTCCACTTTCCGTTTCTCACTCACTTGGTTCGATTTGGAGTTTCCGGACACTGGATCGCCAAACATAGGAGAGGTCGACCGGAGGACTTCGGGTTTGTGACTTTTTGAGGGAACCCTTGCGAAGGGTGCACAAGGAACTCAGACACAAGCAAGGCGCTTTGGTGCGGGTTTTTCTGGGGGCGCAACCCGGTATTCATGGCCTGGCATGTTTTTTTCGAGCTTTTCTTCGCCCCCTTTTGATCGGTTGAATGCTCACCGATTCGGAGGTTCAACGGGCTCAAGGTTTTCTTGGGTCCTGATAAGGATGCCTCTGCCATGATGCAAGCAAACCACCCGCAGATTCGATGGTTGAGTTTCGAGTTTTGTTGACTCGTTCCGTTGCGACATCCTCCGTACCTCATGTCAGTTTAATGATCAACAGCTTAAGGGGGGTAGGTACAAGGGGGGTGGGTGGTGAGCCCTGAGGGTTCCTTACGGTTCCTTGAGGAGCCTTTTGAGGGACTCAAGCTGCGGAGTTGTGACGCTTTTGCTAAGGACAGGGTGCTGCCTAGTAAGCTGCAATGCAGCCATTGTGGCACCTGGGTGGCGGATGAGGGCAGGCGAGGGTGGGGTGGGGTGGGGTTTGAGGTGGGTGTGGGTGTGCGTTTTTGAGTTGATATATATATATATATATATACATATGTGTCTGTTTTTCTCGGTTTTTCAAGGGAAACTGGAAGCAACACTATGGGCTCGCAAGAAGTCAGATTTTCTTTGCGTCGCCGACCCCACTTTACTTTACCGTGGCTCATTTTTGGGAGCCGGTGCCCTTAGGTTCCCAAACAAAGGGACATCAACATCAAAATCCTTCGCCACTTCTCGCTTTAAATTTCTTTTTGACGCACTTCTCTATGGCTACGAGGTCCAGGGACGGTGCTCAAAGAGTTTCTCCATGACACGTCAATTCCCTTTGCTCACTAGGAAGTTGTCCCATCGAATCTACTTTCCCCCTATCTTTTGGAGGGGACCCTACAACGTCCGAGCCCAACAAGTGAGGAGATGGTCACGTGGGTTCATTCTGCACAGTCCTCTTTTGGGCGTGTCTTTCTTTGAGGGAAACCCATGATTTTGTCGTAAAGAGAAACCAAAAAGGAGAAAGACGGAACAACAATTTTGAGGCCATAAAAAAAGAACCCGAGCACATGGGCTGACAATGTGGGGCAGGACGCCGACGTGGGGGTTCCAACCTGGCAAGGGCTAGCCTGAGAAACTCGAGCCCAAATGACATTTTCTTGCAACTGCCTTGAAGAGTCGCTGTGGACCAAATCCATAAAGCGCACCACCGCTCAGAATCCCTGGCATGATTCGATTCCCTAATACCAACAATGCCAATGGGAAATAGATACCAACAATCTTAATACTACTTAATACCAACAATTTCCTGCCAATCTTAATACCAACAATTTAGATTCCACCATGGTTTCGAACCCATGATTCCCTTGTAAGTACCAACAATCGCTCTGGTTTCAACTCCATGGTTTCCAAGTGGTGCGGTTCCGGATTTCGCAACCTCAGTAGCATTGGGCGTGAAGATGTCGCCTCCGGGCAGCACTTCCAAGTGAGTTACTGGGCGCCCAGCGAAACCCCGCCGAAAGGTAAGCCTCCATTGGCATTTCAGGATATGTTTTATATTTTCCCCTTTTGGTCTCAACGGGAATCTATCACTACTGGACATTTTTTCCCAGGGCTCTTAACCAAATGGAAGTAAGTCGCCCAAGCTTGTTGTACGAATCGTGACTTTTCCTCCCATGTTGCCATGCACATTCAGAATGGTGTCCGAGAAGAGCATTCGATTGGGTGGTAAGGTGGTCTAACGCGGACATTGAAAAATGTACTCTCTCTCACCTATCAACATGGAGTGGAAAGTGGGTCCAAATAAGGGAACCCCAGCCCCCAGCCAAGTTCATGGTTGATTCTTTTCAATTCACCACTCGCTTCTTTGGTCGTTTGGTGGTGTTTTTTGGTAATGACATATGGCTGTGGCTCAAAAAACCGGAATTCCAAAATGGGTTGCCCTGGCAAGTGGAAACATGGGTACCAAAACCCCCCGTTGGCAAACCCCTCCGATCGTTTTATTTTGAGCCACCCCCATATGGCTGTGGCTCACACCCACACTTTTGGAACTAAACGACACCATGGCTATGGGTCAAAATAAAACAGGGCTCCTTAAAAGATCTCCATTTTGCCCATTTGAAACATGGCTTTTTCCACCAATATAAAGGGAAACCACAATTTACAAGGCAATGTTCAGGTGTATAATGTAAGGATGCCTGCAAAACCAAAAGGGGACTGCATGTTTACCAGGGTTTCGTTTTGGGCCATGTCCCCGACGATAGGGGAAATCAAGAAATCATTTCCGAAGCCCTCTGGTTACGGCCGTGGGACGTATTGTCTCAGGGAGATGTTTATGACGTTCCCCACGCTCTTCGACTTTCCAGACGAAGGCGGGAAGGCGGGAAGGCTGTTCGCTGAAGTGGCGACATGCGAAAGAGAAGCTGCAGATATGTTTTGTTTTTCTGTGTACCCCTTTGTGAGTAGGAAAGAATAGAGGGGTTGTTCAAACAATTGCGGATTGAACATGTTTGAAGCACGGGGTTGGTTGTGTGAAAGGGAAACCGAAGGGAAGCCGAAACCAAATTTTGGGTTTTCTTCTTTGATTTGAGGGTATCCTTTTGGGGGGGGAGAAAGGACACCTAAGGGAAGCCCCTTATTTTGGGGGGTCCCTCAAAAAAGCAACCAAACCCAAATGCGCTGGTTTACTGAAAAGTGTGTTTTCACATCCCCTGGAAGGCACCGTTTATCCTGAGCGTCAGGCTGCAAGCACGTAAGCACCAGGGCAGCCCAAGGGGCGATTTGAATGTCCTGGGTTCAACTGGGTTGCTCCATAGGTTGAGGGGGGGAGGTTGGAAGTGCCGAGCCGGACGAACCGCGTCGCTTGTTGGTGTCGCCGTCCAGGGTTCCCGAAAAGGATTCATAGCATGTCAGGTCCCTGGGGTGTTCCTTTTTGGTTCATGCGGGTATGTGATGTGTCAAAAGTCGGGGGGACCGGATAGAAGTGGTGTTTCCCTTTAAACCAAGCTGAAAAGGGCACCCTCAGAAAGCCTCATACCCATCTCAGAATCAGGCCCTTAAGAAAAAGGAAAGAACTCCAAAAGTGCAAAAGGAACAAGGTCAGCCGAGAAGTTGAGCTCTTTCCAAGGAAGGGTCGACTACCCTGGTGAAAAAAAACCAAAGGAAGCCATCTTCTGTGCTACTCTTGGGGAGTTGTCACCTTTTCAAGGCTCCGAAGAGAATTCGGGTTTGAACAAGTCAGGGTTGTGGGATCAAGGGGTTTATCCCCACTTCTGTGATACAAGGGAATCTCCCCCTTGTGGAGGGTTAGTCTTTGGGAAGCTCTTTTTGTTGTATCACAGATTCGTGGATTTCATTCCCCACAGCCCTGGAACAAGTCAAATTTGTGCGGGAGGTGGAAAAGGGGAATCATCTTCCCCAAGGGACCTGGAGTAACCCACAGAAGGCTTCGGTCGGTCTGGAATGTTCTCTGTCCAGCATGTCTTCCCAAAGTTGACCACAAAAAAAACGGTTGGCGTCTTCCCATGCCAAAGGTTGCCCACCTCAGCTGGAGTCCTAGATCCAGGCGAATTAGCTGCCTATTTTTGTCTGTGGTTTGTGCCGATTGCCGATCGGCAAACAGTTCCCTCAAAGGTCTTAGTTGCAAAGAGGTTGGTTTTCCCTTGGAAAGGATTCAATTGGGACACTCACTCCCTGAGTTCATGGACTTTAGTCACTTTTCGGGGTTGGACCATTGTAGTGGTAAGTACAAACTTTGTGCCGCCAGCCATCCCCTTAGCTTGTTGAGTTTTGGGGTTTGGTGGTAGTTTCCCTGTGCCCCACAAAAAGTTAGACTTTAGCAGGGAATCGGAAAACGGACGGCCCAGCAAACTGGTTTAGTGTTTTTGGCTGGTCATCCACTCAGGAAGTGGATGAGGTATATCATTGTTTTGTCCGAGGGCTGGTTCTTAGGTCTGGTGTCCTGGTTGGTTGGTTGGCTGGCTGGCTGGCTGGTTGCTTGGTTGGTTGGTTGCTTGGTTGCTTGGTTGCTTGTTTGGTTGATTGGTTGGTTGGTTGGTTCCCTTTTTGGCTGGCTGGCTGGTTGGTTGGTTGGTTGCCTGGTTGGTTGGTTGGTTGGTTGGTTGGTTGGTTGGTTGGTTGGTTGGTTGGTTGGTTGGTTGGTTGCTTGGTTGGTTGCTTGGTTGGTTGCTTGGTTGGTTGCTTGGTTGGTTGCTTGGTTAATTGCTTGGTTGCTTGGTTGGTTGATTGGTTTGTTGGTTGGTTGGTTGGTGCCCTGTTTGGCTGGCTGGCTGGCTGGTTGGTTGCTGGCTTGCTTGGTTGGTTGGTTGCTTGGTTGGTTGGTTGGTTGGTTGGTGCCCTGATTGGCTGGCTGGCTGGCTGGTTGGTTGCTGGCTTGGTTGGTTGCTTGGTTGCTTGGTTGCTTGGTTGGTTGGTTGGTTTGTCTTGGCCCTGTTTGGTTGTTGGTTCCCTGGCTGGTCGACTCCTTCGGTTTTTTTGGCTCAAGGCCAGCGCCTCCCAGCCGCCAGGCCCCGAGCGCTTCCCGGCGCAGTTCCTGCCGCGGTGCCGCATCTTCTGCCGCAGCCGGGCGCTGGCCGAGCAGGAAATTCGACCAAAGCGACACGAGAGAAATATCTCCAGCGGTGATAGAGTTCCCTTTAAAGCCAACAGGGAAAAAATGACAAATATTTGTAAGCAAATGGAAGGCATGTGGCTGTGGTGGTCAAAACCGTTTTTTTGATCCCATTTTGGTTGGGATTGGTGAATTCACCACCCAGTTTAGAACCGATTTTAGAGGGGATTGGGATGTTCGCTAGGGGACAACCAGGCTTTTGACCCATGGCAAAAAGGACGGGCAGAAGATCCCCTGGGACCTAAAAAGCGAGGGCGGAATGGACCGGCATGAATAAACTGGGGCTGATCAATAAGGGTCAACATTGCCTGGCCGATGTCTTGAAGCAAGGTCACCTGCGGGCTTGAAGTGGGGCGAGATTTGAGCGGCAAAGATGGTGAATGCGGTGATGGTTGGCGTTGGCAATTTTTGTAAGTGGCGAATGGAAGTGACCTAACATCAGGGAAGCCTTGCGTCGGCCCGAATGGTGGAATTTCCCATGTACTACTTGGCTATGCTCGCGGCTCCAATCAGGGTGTTTTTGGGCTCCCGCTTCCCCTCCTTTTGACCGACATCGGTTTTTGGTGGGCCCCTAAATGCTGATACGATTGATGCGTATTTGTGTGGTCCCTTACTGGTTTTTGGTGGTATTGTCGCTTACTCCAACAAACATCTGACACCTGGCTGGCTTTCTGGGACTGAGCACGGGCCGGGGCTTTGTTTCCACAAGGTGATGGGCAAATTGGACGCTGGAAAGCGGAGAAGAAACTTGGTAAACGATTAGTGAATATTGTTTGTGGGACGTCGGACATGGGAGGCCCGCCCAAACAGCCCTTTACAATTTGGTGGCGTTGGGGAACACAGAATATATTGCGCGTGGCTCACAGAGGGGTGTGTTTCGGTGGAGGGTACATTCGTTTGGGCCTATTTTGCGGAAAGCAATTCCATATCAAAGAGACAAACCCTCAAACCCTCAGACCCTCAGACCCTCAGACCCTCAGACCCTCAAACCCTCATTCCCCGGGCAGTGGATGAAAGGGAGCCAGGTTGGATCCCAAACGGAGAGGCTTGCCCCGATTGCTTGATTTGCAAAGGAACCGGTTGCGCACTTGCAGGGAGCGGTGTCTCTTTCCAACAGGATGAGATCAAACGGTTTTTTTTGGTGCGTGCAGACCCCGGAGGCGACCTCCCCTAAATATCTTTGATGCATTTTGCCAAGGGATGTTAGGACTTCAACTTTTGGCCAACTCATGCCTCTTTTTTTTTTTTTACCACTAAACGTTATTCACTTTTTGCAGGGGAGCAGATTTCAAGATTTCGCCACCGAGATCTGGTCTTCTGTTTCCATCTGAAGCCAGAAGGCGGGTTCCAACCGAGGGAACTGACCACATGTCTCGACAGACAAGCCCCACTTCCCGAATGGGCATAGAGCATCGAGAAGTGATGAATGAGTCTTGGGAAGAGGGGACCCCCGTTCTTTGTTATTCACAGGCTCCGTTTCCACACGCTGCTTCTGCGAGTCAAGGGCTAGTTGCATCCTCCCCCCCCTTTTCCTCCAGGTAGAACCCAGGTCAAGTGTGAGAGGACCTGGGTTCGTGTCTTTCTCGGCGTGCCCTTTTCAGGTGAGTCAAAGAGTAAGCCAAAAGGACACCCACAACTCCTTTTTTCTTTCTCGCACATACCCATATCTCCTCTCGCACAGAGGACCATGCTTGTGGGAAACAGGGTTTCAGGGTCCGTTTCTGTGATACCAACAAACTCCAGAGGGACGAAGTGGGTGTGTTAATGTTGACCCCATATTAACAAACCGATAAACCTCAGTTTATTCAAAGGGGGGTGTCCCTTGGTTTAGCGGGGAAGCATCACCTTGGGAGGGGCCCCCACCCCCCTATTCATAAACTTGGTGGATTTTTCATTCATGGGGTCAACATTACCCACAGTTGTTTGATAAACCCCAGTTTATTAAACGGGGTGTGTCCCTTGGTGTGGGGAAACCCTGTTGTTTTAGGCGGTCACCCTATTTACTAGACTGGTTAATTTTTTAGGGGGCCAACCTTACCCACTGTCGCGAGGACCATTTGCCGTGCTACCTGGACGATGGGAAGAGTCCCCTGTCGATGGGCGATTTCCTGCGGGACATCGCGCCCCCGCTGGATGGGCGCAGCCACAAGGGTCAGTCAGGCACGGATTTCGCTTGCCTGGGTGCCGCTTCCATTTTTTGCCCCCCAGGTTGACTTCAGCCCTAGCTCTGGATTGAATAAATTTGGAATTGTGCCATCTACTTGCACCCTTGTGTGAAGGAGTATGCGAGACTCCATGATTGCAGCATGACTTCACTGGTCCAGGTTGAAGTGTTGCAGGTTCAACGCTTTGACCCGGTCGACGTTTGGGACCTTCCTACATTTTTACCCGACTAGAAAGGGGAAACAAAGAAATTATATAAATCTTAGGTGTAGGGATGGTAGACAATCGACTTGACGTGTCCACATGACGAAGGTGGCCTTCCTTCTGTGGACCGATCTGGGTACTTGATACAGGTGCCTAGTAGGGGATTTGGACCCCGACCAAGGCGCGGAGTTTTTTTCCTTTTGGTTTCCCTTCAAATATCCCGGAGAAAGGGAACCCTCATCAAGCACCCTCGCTGTATGGCTGTTTGGATCTTTGGACTGGATAGCTTTTGGGTTGGATTTTCCGACTTGGACTCGCAAAAAGCGAAACACTTTCTTGCAGAGGGGTCGCTGCAGCAACCAAGAAATTGCGAAGCCTCATAGCGAGCCCAAACCTTCACACCACGTGGTGCCCGATTTCCTCCGAGTTTTCCGCGGATGTTTTTCCAGGGGCTGAGGGTCTCAACGCGTCAGAACAGTTGGGAGATGGCTTCAGTTTTCCCTTTTTTAAAGCCAACCTGAAAAGGGTACCCTCAACTGAAGCGAGCCACATCCCTTGTTTATCTGTGGCTTGCTCCGAGCTTCAAGATGAGGTGCCTAGGTCACAAGTACCACGGGCAAGTGATAACGTCTTGGGGCAGCCCCGGTGCACTTTCTTACCCCTTTCTGGGGGGAGGGTTCCACTACTAAACTAGACTGCAAAAAGCAAAGGGTTCCCTTATTCTAACCTCTCTACTGGAGGACCTAGTCGTTCAACCGAATTCTGTGGCAGCCTCGCGGCTCGGGGTACTTCTGATGTTCTGGCCATCCGCCTTTGGCCGGCTGCCTCGAAGTCTCGGGGTTTTCCGATGTCCAGTCCTCGCATCGAGCGGAAGCAAGCCAGAAAACGGAGCTTGGTGGATAGGCCTCGGTTTCGTCAGGGCGTTTAGTTGTTTTGAGCTGTTTTTGGTGGCTCTGTTGCCCAGTGGGTTGCTCCCTTTTTCCTTTCTTCCTTTTTTTGGGTAAGGGTTCCAATTCCTTGAAACTCAACCAACAAGAAAGGGCGCCCTGTTTTTTTCCCCGTGGTTGGGCATCTGAGGCGGGTTTAGTGGTTGGGTTTCCGGTTGACCCAGATTTCAAAGCTTTTTGCAACAGGTTGGACAGCCCAGGTCTTAGGGTTTCACGGACATGTCCTTTCACTCACTGAGGCCGCTAAATGAGCGAGCCGCTGGCTCAAAAACTTACCTCTTAAAAACACAAAACTTTTCTCAACTTTTTGGGTAACATGGGCTATCTGTCTGTAAAAGATGAACACTTCCCCAGGGCTTGGAGTTTTAAGGGGTAAGAAAAAGAGATGCGTGTTTACGGGGTAGATGAAGGCGAGTGAGGGAGAATCTCAGCGCCTTTGCTAGCCTCGTGTGTGTGTGTGTGTCCCTTTCTTACCCCTTTTTGGGGGGAGGGTTCCACTACTAAACTAAACTACAGAAAAAGGGTTCCCTTATTCTGACCTCTCTACTGGAGGACCTAGTTTGTAATTCTTGAAACATGGTTTTGGGAAGCCCAGTTTCATACCAGGTGTTGATTATTACTCAAATCTTCTCTTTTCCCAGCCCAGAGAGACAACCTGTGGAGAAGGGTTTTGCCCTGCGCCCCAACAAAAAGCAGGGGTCCTTGCAAGTCTATACATTTCCCTGGAACGTGAGTGCTTCCCCAGTTGTAGTGCATGGCGAGTTTCTCTGTGTACCAATCATCGTGTTGGGACGATGTACAGAGCAAAAGGCTGTCCTGTGCTGGTGTCAAGTCCACCACAATACGGACATGTTTCGATTGTCGGTCCAGCAGCAGTATACTTTGCGTTGCCCGCCCCCGACATGGCGACGTCGGCAACGGAGGGCGTGCCGTCATCTTCCGCAAGGGAAACGGATTCAAAGTGACAAAGTAATCATGGGAATCAATTTCCGGACAAATTTCTCAAGTTGCCCTTTTCCGCCTTTCCCCGGACATATTTATCCCAACTGTATCAACATAACTCTCACTTTTACGCGAATTTATTTTTCCCCCCCCACCCTCCACCTTGAATTGACTAGTTCCCGTGGCCCATCGCAGGGCGCATCGGCGTGCTGGGTGGGTCTCCTGACTTTGCAGGCAATTCGGGGAGTCGAAGTTGGCGCTTTCCAAAAATCGACCGGAGACCTTTGAGTTCCCTTTTGGGCGTGTTTTTGTAGGACTTAGTCCCCATGGCCCCCTCAACTCTGAACAGAAAGGATTGGTTTCTCATTGGTTGCCAACTTGAAGTAAGTCAGACACACGGGGCCACACGCCCATTTGCCAGCATCATGCGACTTTCCACACACCATTTGTCGCATTTCTACAACCTCTTTCACGGAAAGGACGGCAGATGGAAGATGCGCTGCACCATCAGTGCTAGCAATGTTCTGGCGAGTCGCTCTGTCAGCTCGGACCTTTTTGGCGTCCTCACGTTGCCCTGTGAGCCCGTGCTGGGAAGCCGACATCGTACATTACGTTTCTAGCCATGGCTCCAAAAGGTGGTCACCTTTTATTTCCAGGTCCAAACTGGGCAACTGCGTCTTGTTTTGCGCGTCTGTGTCAAGATTCGGGACCAAGTCGTGACGGCTTTGCTGTTGGTGTCCCTTCAAAAGGCGAAAAGGATCATATTAACCCAAAACCAACCCACTCGCACCCACGCCCCCACTCCCACACCCAGAGCCACACAAATGGCATATGGAACTCGCAAAGTGCGTACTTGTAAACCATTCACTCCAACCCTGGGTGGATCAACACTCCGGGGTGGAACTTTGGCATTCGCTTGCTACCACAACTGACTCCCTGAGTTCTTGGACTTCAGTCACTTTTGGGGGTTGGACCATTTTCGAAAATAGACCAAATCTGGTGACATTTTTTTTGTGGCCAATCAACTCTCGATGGGGGGTTGAGACAAGCCAAAGTTGGCCGCCGCTTTGTTCGGCCGCGTCGGGCGGAGCCGCCGCCGCTTCGGCCGGAGCCACGTCGGTCGGAGCCGCCGCGTGAGGGGCGCCCTACTACGCGGGCATGGCGGCGCTGCGGGTGGGCGCGGAGCTGCTGTACCTCTGCACCGCCGAGGAGGCCACAGGCGCGTCGTGCGCGCGCGCGGGGAACGTGCGGGGGGGGGGGGGGGGTGGGGGGAACGGTTGGGTGTTCTTGTTTGGTGGGTTTGGTTGAAAAATAGGTTTGGCGACTATTGGTTTACCTGGTGGTTCAATCATCTACCAGGGCCACCTATTTGCGACAAAAAAAAGACACCTATGGTTGGGGCTGTTGGGACTGGCGTTGGGGTTGGTTGGGGTTGGGGGTGTCATTGGGCCACGCGTTGGTTCGCACTTTTGGTTTCGTAGAATGGTGCAAAACTGAAGGTTTCCTTAAGCCTTGGAAGGAAAAGACCCGCTGAAGTAGGTTCTAGTCAAGCAAGGGGATCAATCCCAGTCCCACTTCCCACTTGCACGAGGGTGGCTTGTCAAAATCTTCAAAAGTTGGGGGTTTTCCTGTCGGCTTCCCCTTAAACCAAGCTGACAAGGCAACAGCTGGGTGAAAGCAGCTGGCACAGCTGCCCTCATTTTGGCCGAATTATCCTCGTTGCCCACATAAAGGGAGTTGTGCGGGAACAACCCCCCGTTTCTGACTTGCATACCCCCTAGAAACAGTCAACAGAATGACCCCAGGTTGAGTTGGGGCGACTCGACTCAGCGAGGGCCCATCAAGGGCTACTCCCCGGAGCTAATGGTCAGCGAGGTCTACCGTTGGTCCGTGATGTCCTCCCACGACGCAGGCGCGGGCGAACTGGCATCCCAGCGCTTATCTACACCTCCCAGCGGGGTGGCGGTCCTGTTTTTATTTTCTTTTTCGGAGGGGCGAAAAATGTGTGCCCCCCCCCCCCCGTTTTTTGTTTTTTTTGTTTTCTGTCCGATTTGTGTTTTTTGTGTTTTGCGTTTGGGGTTTCAACAACCAACCAGGGCGCCAATTTTTTCCCATGGCCACTGGGGTCTGGGAGGATGCCTTGCGAACGTGGCAGGTTGTTGGAGGAATGTCGTCTTGGGGGATCCACCTTGTGATTGGACTTTGCCCATGGAGCGCTTGCATGTGCAACCCAACCCATGTCAGAGTATTTGATTTCACGGGTCTGGCTGCGCAACCCATTGGCCAAGAAACCGCTTTGCAGTTCAGGGGACAAGGGGGAGAAAACACCCTTTTGGAGCCACTCAAACTGGAGACCCCAAATGAAGCGCCAGAGAATCCGAGAGAGCTGCCTTGGGCTCTGGGTGTGCTCTGGGTATCCACAATGTTTTGACCATGATTTAAGCACCTAGATAGCCAAGTTGCTGCTTTTTTCAGTCACTGTTGCTGGTTTTTGGGGTAAAGTTCATGGAAAAAAACAGCAACCGGCGATCCAGGCACTCCTGATTTTGCTCCAAAGAGCCAGGGGATATGTTTGGATTGCAAAGGCGTCGTGGAGCAGGAGAAGAAGCGCATGGTGGAGAAGATGGAGGCGCGCTCGGTGTGGGAAAACCTCGGAATCCACCGAAAAGGAACCCGCTGAAAACGCCATGCCTTTTAGTTGCCCCATTTTGGGTTTTCGGTTTTAGTGGCTCCAAAAGGTGATCACTTCTTGATTTCTGGGTCCAAACTGGCAGCTGAAGGGAACATCTTGCAAGTTTGCAAAGGGTGTTTTTGTGTGGTTTCCTATCGGGCTCGATGAGCGCGAATGAACCTAAACCCTTAGCTGGGTTTTAGATCACCCAGCTCAGATGCTTCGGCCGCTTTTTGTGTTTGTTGGAACACACCGCAGGACATTAGTGAAGTGGTTCCATGGGTTCCATGGGTTTCCTTGCCAATTGCGGGGTGTGACCGCTGGGACCGAGCCCTAGAACCACCCCTCTTTCAACAGCAAAGCAACGTGGGGCCGAGGCCACGCCCCTTGAGGGTGATTTTTTTTTGTGAGCCGCTGAGTTCCGAGGACTGGGGACTGGGGACTCGATTAAAGGCTCCTTGCTGCTGTTTCCAGTCACTCTTGCTGGTTTTCGGGGTAAAATGCATGGAGAAAAAAAACACGGCAACTGGCAATCCAGGTTGTTCCCTTTGTCAGACGGCCCGTTGCGACAACCAACTTGGGGGTACCAACAAAGGCATGCCCTGGGCGTCCCCCACAAGAGGTTGGCGATTCTTTTGGCTTCCCTTTTGGCTGAAAGGGGACGCAAAGGGGATACAAGCCATGATCCCCCACATATCGCTTTTTATCACTCCTTGTTTCGTTTTTTTTTTGGTTCCCCTTTCCTTTCCCATTCGGCTATATATATAAGTCTTAATCGGGAACCAGCTGCAAAGTGCTTGGATACATTTATCCCTGATATATCAGACAGTCGTCCAAACCAGGACCACGAAACGTGAGGTTCTTTTAAGCGTTGGCGAAAAATCAAAGCCCAAAACTGGGGGAGGGGGGGGGGGGTACCAAAAATCCCAAGGTCACCAAAACTTGGTGCTTGTTTTAGCCTTTTAGTGGTTAGTGGTAGTTTTCATTTAACCCACTAAAAGTTCTTCACTCTTAGCGGGGGATCTGAAAACGGGCAGCCCAGAAAAGGGGGGGTTACCAAAAGCTTCCACTTGTTTAAGAACATTTGTTATTTTTCCCTGTTGTTTTGAAAAGGAATTGATCACTACTGGACATATTTTCTCATTTTTTCCAGGGGGCGCAAACGCAAGTGGAAGAAAGGGGGAACAGAAATCCACACCGGAGCAACACCATTCTGGGTCATTTCCCAAGGGTGTAATCCCAGGGTGTAATACAAAAACCCTCAGAAAAAGGGGGGAACAACACCGGACCAACACCGAAAGCGGCCCGGAAATTTGCCCAGGCGCTGCTTCCCCGGTTCCACGCGCTGGTCCTTGGCTGCGGCCTGGGACGTGCGCGGGCCCCGGGACGGGCCCCGGGGCGGGGGGGGGGAAATGTCAGGCGGGTCATTTGTTGGGATCTTGGCAACCTTTTTTTGTTGTTTTCAAGGGAAACACAAGGGAGAACAGGGTTTCAAGCCGAGTTTGTTTTGTTTTTCCCGAGGCGTGGCGACCACTTTTTTTGCTGCTTTTCAAGGGAAACACAAGCTAGGCCCCCCAGCTAAACGCCCTTTTACGGTTTCTTTTTTGGGGGGAGGGTTCCCCTACTAAAGTAGACTGCAGTAGACTACAGAAAAAAGTTGGTACCAACCTCTCTACTGGAGGACCTAGTTGTGGTTTTGAAGGGAAACACAAGGGAAACCACCAGGGTGTGGGTTCTGATTTTCAGATGGCCCGTCGTTTTTTTGGGACCCGGACCCCCAAAATTTGGCTTCGATTTTCCTTGTTTTTTGGTGGTTGTTTCAAAGGAACGGACAGGAACCACCGCCAATCCAGGTTTGAAGACAAGCACACGTTTTGAAATTTCAGATTTCGGGACATTGTGATTGCGCCCTCAAGATTGACGCAAGCGTTTGAACTGCCGAGCAAAGAGTGAATTCCTAGCAGTTTATCATGTTTAGAGTTGGTTTTAAAGTTCCCCAGCAGCCCATTCTAGCGATTTAGCCCTACTAGGTCCCCCAGTAGTGCCCTTCTCTCCCCTTTTTTGGGGGGAGGGTTCCTCTACTAAAATAGGCTACAGAAAAAGTTGGTACCCTTATTCTAACCTCTCTCCTGGAGGACCTGGCCTGAAAATACCTAGTTTTTCAGCACTCCGAATCCAGGATGACCGTGTCCTGGACGCGGTGGCCCGCATCATCGAGGCCGCCAAGGTGCCTTCGTTCCGCGGGGCGGGGTCGCGCGCGCGCGGAGGAGTCCGGCGCGCGGAGGAGTCCAGGAGGACCCCTTTTCCACGAACTCGTTAAGATTGGGGTGCCCCCCTCTTTCTTTTTTTTAGTAACGTGGACGAGCGAAAGCCCGTTCGCATGACTTTGAAACCACGGGAAACCATTGTTTGTGGGTATTGACAGGGTAATCATCACTCCAGAGTTTGTAAGGTGGTGCAGGATTTCGTCCACCACAGCATGGGGGTGTCCATGTTTTTCTTGGAGATGTATCACTTTTGGAGGTGGAACGCCCCCCAAATAAACTAGCAGGGGTGTGTGAATCCGGGGTCAGCGTTAGAAAACCATGTGAGGGTTGTGGAAAATGAGAGCCCAGTGATTGTTTGTTTCCTCTCCTCTCTAACCGTCCCAAACCGGGGCGCCCTAAATGAAGAAACCTCCCCCGAAATATGGGGGGGGGGGCGGATGTGTTTTCCTCTAGAAAACAATAGAAAACAGTTTGAGTCAGGTAGCCCTTAGTTGGTGGTTTGGATGGGCTTAGATATGGATTTGAGGTTCTGGTGCTTGCGGGAAACCTCCCAACCACGAGGGGGAAGCTGAAAAGGGGCAAAATTGGCAGTTTCCCTTGAGTGAACACGGCCAACGCTCGCGCACACGCACACATGTAGGCTCCCAAGGGTTTGTGTTTTGTTTGTTGAAGACTAGAAGGTGAGGACATGGACAAATTGGTCAATGCCCAGTTAAACTAGCGGGACACTTGTTGCAAGAAGTGGGGCTCCTGGAACGCTGACAAACACACCCCAGAAGCATAGCAATAGGGGGTACAAGAAAGACCCTTTTTATCCTCAGGATACTTTTGTGTCGTGCCGCGAAATTCAACATCGGATTCATTGGCTCGTCAAATTAGGGAAACACGTGGGTGGCTCGTCTTGTTTTGGAGTTGGTACCCCTGTGGGATTGGTTTTACGGGAACCCAAAGGGAACCCCGCTTTTTTTGGGGGGGCATGCCCTTATTTTTGAGACCCATATTGTTTACGGTTCGGTGACAGATGGCAAAACTCCACAATTGAGAAATATGACACGTCAATTCCCTTTGCTCACCAGGAAGTTGTCCCATCGAATCTACTTTCCCCCTGTAAGCTTTTGGAGGGGACCCTACAACGTCCGAGCCCAACAAGTGAGGAGATGGTCACGTGGGTTCATTCTGCACAGATGTCCTCTTTGGGGCGTGTCTTTCTTTGAGGGAAACCCATCATTTTGTTGTAAAGGAAAGCCAAAAAGGAGCACCCATCGTTTTGAGGGTCCTCTAAAAAATGCACCCAACATCCATTGTGAAGGCGTACAACATTTGCATCCACCTTTCGGATGGTTCAAGGATTGCTTAATCCAAAGCCAAGAGACTCAGTTGCCCAAAGCCGACCTTTTGACTTGACTTCTATCGGGTTGGATCTTTAGACTTTAACTTTTTGGGAAATAAAGATGTTTTCCACTAAGCCCCAAACAAGTTAAACTTTTTGCAGGGGGGTCAACAGCAACCAAGTTGACCTTTTGGTTTCCCCGAAAGGTTAACGTGCCTTTCTGGGTCCTTTGGGCAGATGAGATGGTTCTACCTCAGCCATAGCCCGAATCAGTCGCCACTGAAGGTCCTTGACTCGTTCGGAGATGACTCAACCAAGGGTTCCCCTTTACACTCAACACATGTGTCACCAAGGGTTCCCCCTCTAGACTCAACCAGAGCAAACATGGATGCCCGCTTTTCCCCGTGGCCACTGGGCATCAAAGGTCCTGAAGGGATCTTTATGAACCGTTGAACCCATCTTTAGTGTTTGTTGCCATGCTTTAAGAAGTTTCTGGGTCTTTTGCTTCTCTTCATGCTTTTCCTCGAAGAAGAAGCAGAAACCCTCAAGGCCATGATGTGTTTCTCTTTTCTTCTTTTTTGCAAGGCCACTTCCCCTGGGGGTGGTAAAAGTAAACGCCGCACGCCGCGCCTTTCGCGCCGAGGAGTCAAACATCTCTCGCCAGGCGCGGAAGCTGCCGCTGGTCATCGACGCGGACGGGCTGTGGCTCATCGAGCGCCGCCCGGAGCTGGTGAAAGGCGCGGCGCGGCGAGCGAGCGACGGGCGACGGCCGGCGAGCCGCGGTTTTGGTTTCGAGTCGGGGGAGGGTGGGGTGGGGGGTGGGGTGGGGCCAGGGTCAAGTTCCATTTCGCAGGTCACCTTTGTCTTCCTTTGGTAGGAGTTGAGGCTCTGAGGGTTGGTATCCTCCCATTTCAGACCACCAAAGAAGAGTGCCAAGGCGTTTTTCGTTGGTTCCCACGGCCTCTGAGGGTTCAGGGACCGGATGGAGGCACCACAAAGGGGCCTTCCTTGAAGGACTTCGCTGTTCTTGGATCATGTTTCTCGTTTTTTTTAGTTTTTTGGTTCTGTTCGTTTTTACTGGGGGTCTGCCAAAAACAAAGTTCTTTGCTACCATACCAAGAGTAGAGATGCTTGGATTCAGCTCGAAAAAGGGGAGGTCCCCAGATTCTGAGGGCTCAGAGTTCCATTCTTTGATTGCTCCATAGCTCCATAGACTTAAAGCAAACGGGTGGTTCAGCTTCGAAGCTGAAGGGAAGCGTAGGGCCTATACAAGAACCGCTTCAAAACCAAGTCCAGACCACTAGTCCAAGCCAACCAAGAGTTGCCTGAAGGCGTCCCTTCGGGGAAAAAAAGCAGCGGGAGCACCGGGTTGCTGGTGTTCAGATGGGAAAAACATATGGTTTCGCAAAATGGCCGTGTTGGAACGAAAGTCGGCGCCGGAAATGGTGGACTTGGGCACTCGAGTGATTGTCCCAACAACATATTCACCTTGTGGTTTGCCACCGTGAGAGCGGGCAAGCCGTGGCATTCGGGATGTACCCCCAACATGGTATGAGGAACCCGCGTCTGTGATCATACCCAGTAACCCCAAACCGTGTGACAACATGCATGTGACCTGTTGGTGTATTCTCTGAGTTGAACTAAGTTTAAGTTGGACCAAGTTCGAGTCGAACAGGAGAAACGCTGGGCAACCTGTCCAACTGTTCAAGTCCCAAGCCATGTCTGGCAGTCAAAAATTGAACCTACCAATAATCAAAAGGACCCCTGCATATGACGACCAACTGTCAAGAACGACAAGAAGGGATCAACCTTGAGATGGGTGTGTCTTGAGGCTCAGTAGCGTCGGGTTTGTTCAAAGGAAAACCAAGGGACAATCGTGAAAAGCAGATGAGGTTCCCCATTCATCGGACATTCGCCAGTTTGTCAACGCAGGTAGGCATTTGCTTTCAGCATCCTTCACCATCTATCACAAAGTTATTTGCCCTTTCTCCCGACTCAGATTGGTACAGCGTGGGCCGTTTGCCTTTGGACACAATGGTCATCCTTTGCGTCTGGGCCGGGCAAACATTCTGCCGGTCTTGGGGCTTCCAAAAGAGGAGAAGGCCGAAAAAGCGATTCCTCCAAACATGTAGTATTTGAGCAACCCGGTAGGTATTATACACAAAGGAACAGTGGTCTTCCAAAAGGGAGATGTTCATGGGAATGCTGCACCACCAAACCACCAATCCAAACCACCAGTGCAGCTAATTAGAGGGAAGCTGATACTTCATGATGGTATGCCTGTAGCCCACTGAGCCATCCCCTTAGCTTTTTCGCTTTTTAGGTGGTTTTCTGAGGGGGGTGCCAGGTAGCCCACTTGCAAACACTCTGGGATCTCTGCGTCTCTCGCTTCCCGAGCTCCGTTTCGGGCTTCAATCACTGGTTTGGGCCTGGATCATGTCTTGGTCGACCAAAAGTCTACCTGGACCCTCAAACTAGGCTCAAACTACCCGGAAAAAAGGCGCTTCACCCCAACATTTTGGGGCCTTTGGGGTAATCGCCCAACCATTTTTCTGGGTATTTTGAGGCTCCAGTTTGGCCAGCCTCAAGTGAGGTGAGCCGTCCCAGCCTCCCAGCCACCTCTTTCCGGGCGGACGCGAGGCTACAACGAGGCGATGCTCACCCCCAACGCCGCGGAGTTCCGGCGCCTCAGCGCTGCGGTGCTGGGCCGCGAGGCGCTTGCCGCGTTTGGTTTTGGTTTGTTGCAGGCCGCACAGGGAACTCGTTTCTTCCCCAGCACTAGTTCCCCTTTTGTTTTTTTTTGATTTTTTGGGGTCCCTTTGTTGTTTTCCACTAACCAGGCATAAAAGATAATCTTTTGCTGGGGTCCTAATTCCAGCCTAGGTTTGTTGGCTTCCCTTTGAAATATATTTTGGGGGTGTCGTTTTTTTCTTTCCCAAAATTGCTTCAAACATTTTGAGCAACCGCGGTACCCTTCTTGGTTTCAAGGGAAGCCAAAGGAACACCAATGCCAATTCGGTTGTTTTTTTTAGGGGTTGGCTATTGTTTTAAGGAGTTGTCACCCTCTTTGGGAAACCAGCAAGAACCCCGATGCCATTTGGGCGTGTCTCTTTGAGGCTACCTTTGTTTGGTTGCTTTTTTGTGGGAGACCAAGAGGCAACCCGTTGCACCATGCACCATTTGGGGGCTAAAAGACGAGCCCATTTTGGGTGGCCAACACTCTCCCGAATTTCGAACCCGATTCGCCGATTCGAGAGACGTGCAGCCCTTTAAAATCGGCCCCGGAAGAAGGGTGAATACGGCTTCCTGAAGCGTTCCTGGGTTTCTGAAGGTTTGGCTATTTGATTACAACACAGTTGTCCTATGTCCAGCAACCTGGGGCGAATCTAAAACCATTTTGACATATCATCCTGGTTCTCTTTGAAGGCAGAATCCGTCTAGTGAATTCTCCTGAGCAAAACACAAAATCAAAACGTTTGGAGGCTCTATGGGGCTTCCCAAAGATGTATGGTCTAAGCGCGAAAGTACGCACACCCTCCTCACAACCTTGGACCTCCTGGTCACCAACCCACTTTATACGGCATTGGAAGGTTAGTAATTGGCATTCCTGTTGTCTCCCTTTGCCAAGAGCCAAGTCAAGACCTTTGGACCTTCCCCTAGTTCAGAAACCATGGGTCCCCTTTGGGCACTCCGAGAGAGCGAGAGAGCGAGAGAGCGAGAGAGGGAGAGTACAGTTTTGGTATCCATGACCATTTGCACGTAGCTTATACATTGCACATTACATACACCTATAAATATATATACACATGCACATGCTATACACATGCATTATTACATTGGACACCTCTTCCCCCCTCCAAGGAACAAATCTTGGATGACCACCCCGGCTAGTGCGTGGTTCATGCCAACATGTCAGCCTTTGAGTCACATGTTGGATTCCTTTGATTCCTTTGACTCTGAGAGATTGTTTTTTTTTTTCTCCCCCTCCCTGCACCTGTTCGTCCCCAGCTGGCTGCGGGTCAAACATGGGTGCCCCAAAATGGCTTGCCCTGGTACATGATTTGAACCAAGGGGTAAACCCTGTGGTCCATTTCCCGGCGGTCTAATTTTTTGACCCACAACCAGTAACCCCCGTAGCCCCAGTAACCCAGAAGCCTCCCGCAACCAGCAACCCCCAGCGCAGGAACCCCAACCCCAGCAACGCCCCGCGGATTTTTGTTTCAGGACGCCACGGTGCTGGAGCTCTGCGAGGCCATGGCAGGGCCCATCATCCTGCAGAAGGCGGCGCCCCCCAACGGCCCCCAAAGCCCCCCCCCCCCGCCCCTTTGCTTTGTCTTCTCGGGGGGAGGGGGGGAGATCCGCTACCTTTTTTTAAAGCTGGGGGGGACATGCGTCCCCCTACTCCCCCTTACTTTTTTGGGGGGGCAAGAAGTCAAGGGAGGAGTCCGTCAGACTGATGATGGTGATGGGCATTCTGGACTTCGGGGTGATGACGAAGCTGTTCGGAACTGGTTCGAGAAGAACTGGCTTCGGTGCAGGATTTTGGGCGCATCCACTTTCCGGCCATAGTCATTCGGGTACGAAGAATATTATGCCGGCTCAAGGCGGGTGTTGCTTTGGGGCGCAAAAGGGAAGCTGAGACTCCGTGTGTGTCCTCGGCATCCGAAGCGGGGCCCAGTTTTTGGACGGCTCGTTCATGTTTTTCGTGTTGGCCATGAACGCCCAGTTTTGTCCAACAACCCTTGCGCCACCCGGTTTGGGTTCATGTTTTGTCAGTTTGGACGTGACAGATTTGACTTCTAGAAACGCATTGTTGGGCCATTGAAGGGCATGTTTGACGGTCTGGAAGCTAGATGACTGCTAGCCATTGATCTAGCTATTGAGCTAACCATGGTGAGATCACCAACGTATGTGGGTTGGTGGGTTGACCATTCAAGCAGTTCGGCCTGAAAGTCCAGTTTTTGTTCACTTCCCAGTCCAACATCTAAGCAGACTGCACTCACCTCGGACCCAAGTCTGTTTTGCACCCCCCCAAAAGAAAAAGGAAAAGAACACACGAAGAAACACGGTTGCAACATCGACTCGTGTCCACCATACCCCCCACTTTGTTGTGGACACGTTCAGTCTGTTTTGCAACCTTGTTGAGGGCAGTATATGTTTTAGTGGCTTGTGGCTGCCAAGTTTTGTCTGTACCCAGACTGCCAGAGGTGACCTTTTGTCCGTTTTTGTAGGGTGTTCTCAAATTCAACTACCTTCCCTCCTACTAATATGGCAACTGACAAGGGTCCCTTCCAAGGAATTTCATCTTCCATATACTTCCCCACAGGCGCCATGTTTGTTAGACAGCTAAAAACAGAGCCAATTCGATGTTTGCCACTCGGGCTCTGCGTCAAAGTGTCCATGGCACCCCTCCCCCTTTCTTCATCCCCCCCCCCATCCCTTTCCCCTCCCCTCCCTTTCCGGTGCAGGGCGCGGTGGACCTCATCGCTGCGCCGCAGCTCAGCGAGGTTCGGCGCTGTGCCGAGGAGGGCGCCCCCAGACGCCCAGGCGGGGCATCGCGCGAGGGGGTTCTTGTCGTACGGCCGCGGGGCGGGGCTCAGAAAAGACGAGTTTTTGGGTCCCCCAGCTCGGTGCCCTTTTACCGCTTCTTTTGTGGGTGGGAGGGTTCCCATACTAAAATAGACAAAACCGAAAAAAGAAGCGGGTACCAACATATTCTAAGCTCTCAAATCTGGAGGACCTAGTAGTTATAGAGAAAGACACCTTTCGATTCTGTTCAGGGTCCGGACCCTAGCTTGAGTACCCCGATTGGTTGGGATGCCCGTTGAATATGAAGCTAGTTGAGCATCCAACTTGCGCCATGTGAAACTACCATGCTTGTCCTTTGGGTTCCATTTCTTTCAAGAGGCTGGGTTCAAAAACAACGCGGGCATCGTTTCTTTGTCTCAGGTTCCGCTCTGAGACAAATCCATGTGAGCCACAATCAAAACCCGGGCAGATGAAGGCTAGTAAGGGGCAGTCCCGAGTTATAGTTGCGGATATCCGCCTTCATTCTTGAAGCATGGTTCTGGGATTACGACCACTTCGCTGTTCTTGGATCATGTTTTTTAGTTTTTTAGTTTTTTGGTTCTGTTCATTTTTACTTGGGGTCTGCAAAAAGCAAATTGTTTTGCTACCATACCGAGAGTAGAGATGACCATTTCAACACCGGGGTTTCCTTGTGACTCACGTCTATCGGTGTGTTGAGTCGCCACGTTTGAAGCTGACGGAAGCTGAAGCCGCTTGAGGGAACCCCCCCCCCTCCCGCGACCAGAGGTTTTATCCGGGGAACATGCAAAAGGAACCTCGGGAGTTCGCGCACTTAAGGTGGTTTGTTTGCTAGGAATAGCATCCCAGACCAGAGGGTAGAAAAATATTGATTTGCGATTTTGAAGATTCGTAATTGACAAAGGCTCTTTAACCAAATTGTGGGGTGATGTTGGGGACAGCTATTAAAGAGGAAGATCCCTTCAAATGAAACCACGAAAGATGATTCATGCGGGGTCATTTCCTCTTCCTTCCCCCGCTAGTTCTCCAGCAAGTTGGGTAGTGGTCATGGGCCATGACCAACCAACAGCCATCAACCATCAACCGCAAAATGGATGGTGTTCTTAGTCCGTTGCGTTCTCTTCAAAACCAACCCAACACGTGTTGGCACTCTCTAAACAAAGGCCCGGCCAAGGGCCAGCAAAGAACTGAGCGTTTCCCGTGTCCCTTCAAAACCAACCTTCAAAGAGGGTACCAACCCCAAACGCAAAGCCAAGCTCCAAAAGCGGCTTTTGTTCAGGCCTTTGTTTGGAGAGTGCCAACACGTGTTGGGCTGGTTTTGAAGGGAACGCAACGGACTAAGAACACCATCCATTTTGCGGTTGATGGTTGATGTTTGTTGGTTGGTCATGGCCCATAACCACTACCCAACTTGTGGAGAACTAGCGGGGGAGGGAATGACCCCGCAGCCATCGTTCGTGGCTTCATTTTTGGTGGCAAAAGCGCCTTGGGTCCCAGGCCTTCAAGGGGCACCCTCCGCGTTCCGAAAAATTCTGACCAGCCGCTCAAGGCGGGCTCGGGGACTTCCTCGCGGGCAGTCGGGAGCCTAAAGAGAGCGGCCGGGCCTTTAGGAAAGGCCGAAAGCCACGGGGGGCTTTGGGCTTGACTGCTTTCGGGGTGTTTGGCTGTTGGGTGTTTGGCGTTTGGTCAGACCGCTTTAGTGGCAAACCAGCATGCTTTTGGGTCTTTGTACGGTCCCGGAGCTGGATTCAGGGCGGTTTTTGGCTTTTGGCAAGACCGCTTTAGTGGCCAAGAACCAGTTCTGATGGATCTTTTTGTCCATTTTATTCAGGAAGCGCGAGCAGTTGCGCGGGAATGCGCTGCTTTTATTGTGGGTATTGTTTGGGTTTTGGTGGGGCAGGGGGGCATGGCCTCGTTCATGGACTCCCTACGTGGTTTCCGTTTCTGGGTCGACAAGCGTTGTCTGAACCAAATCGGTTTTCGGAAAGGATCCCCCCCTGTTGCCCCCAGGATTCCGGTGGACCTCCCCCTTCAACTCAAAGAGGTGGAGTCGCTTGTTCCGTTTTTGCTTCAGAACTAGCTCCCCTTTTTCATGTTTTGCTTTTTTGTGGGTTTTGTTTGTTTTGTACTCACCAGGCAAAATATATATATATATACATATATATCTATATATATATATATGCTGGGGTCCTAAGTCCAGCCAAGTTTTGAGGCTTTGTCCGTGGCGCTTCCAACTGAGCAGGCCCGTTTGGTGCTGCGGTAGGGGATCTTTTCGGCCGGGCCCCTTTGGCCGATTGTCTCTTTCCCTTTTTGGGAGCTTTTCAAAGTGGCACTCGGGCACCCTTTTGGTTGGACAACTTCCAACTTGCCCTGGCTTTTTTCAGCCTTTTTTGCATCCTAGCACGACAACCGGTGGTTTCTGGCGTGAAATCTGCGGCGCCTGAAGCTGTACCGCACTTAACCGGCTAACCAGTTGAACTTGTTTTTCGTTATGTTGGTTTGATATGAGTGTGACTCAAACCTGAGCTTTTGAAATGAAGCTCAGATTCTTAGGAGAATCCGCCTCGGCCAGGCTCAAAAGAACCATAAGAGCAATGCGGGCTTGAGCAACTGATGCCGGCGGGCCCAGGAAACCGGATGGCTGGGCTAGGAAAGTTGGATGCAATTGTGATGGGCTGGTATGCCGAGGCAGGTCCGTATCCGAGACTGGCTGCGCACCATTGCAGCAACTGGAAGCAGAGCAGCGTGCCCGGGCGGACTGGCAGACTGCCCCGCGCGCCCGCCTACATCAATGTGAGGACACGCTGCGGAGAATGAACAGCAGAATTGATCAAATAGGTTTTTCTGCAGCACGCGCACCGGCAGAAGGACTCGCGCTTTCTGCTATTGCGTCAAACGCGTGGCAAGTTTCATGCGTTTTGTGGGCAAGCTTTGGGCAGGGGCCGCTTTGGGCTTGCTCAAGACAATTTGGCATGAGAGCTTGCCATGTGGTGCTGCAATGCTGATCTTGACTGTGTGTGTGGCATCAGCCAAGAGATTGGGACTTGTCAGAAAAATAACAACACGCAAAGGTAATTCACCCATGAAGGAAGCCAGCGCCTTGGCGTGAGTGAGCTTAGACGCATCAAACGGGAACCCCTCTACCCCCGCAGCTCGAGTCCTGCTGGTTTGTTTGCAGCTTGGCCGCACGAAGTGACAGTCAGCAATCAGCACGGCTGCCAGGCGTTTGTTGTCATGAGCTGGCGCTTCTGCTAGAGAGCGTGGAATCGGCCAAGGCCAATGCTGAAGGTTAAAAAGGGGCCAAACACACAGGGCACGGAACGTTTGAGGCGCATTGCGTGCCAAAGTGTCCAAGTTGTGTAGCAGCTAGCAGCTTTGCTTTGTGTTGGTGACTCATGGCGCTGTGAGCCAGATGGTTTGTTGCGCTGAAGTGCTTGACAAAATCTCTGTGTCAGGCTGTTTCCGAGCTTGTGGTGGTGCCCCAGGCGCCCAGAAGACAGCGGGTGCTTTTTGATTGCCACTGTTTGCATCTATGATCGACTTTCGGGTCAGCTCGAAACAAGGCCTGCCGGCAGTCAACGCTTGGCCGTCGTGTGGATGTAGCGCTGGCGTTGACAGAAGATTAGGGGCCAAAGCCTTGCCTGCTTTGACAGTTTGTCTTAGGGCTTAAGGTTGCTTAGTGGGACTAGGTGACTTGATTCTATTTGATGTTGAGGTGTGATGAGGATAAGCGCCTTCAAGACGACGCTGCAGGGCGCTTCAACGCTGCATGGCTCCTTGCAGGACGCAGGCAACGACGGGAGTGTTCGGAACGGGGGCGGTGGCAGAGCAGCCCCCCTCATCAACGGCAGAGAGTGCTTTGTGGAGGCGGGGCTCGTCACAGACTCCGCAATCGGCGAGGTTGAACAGCTTGCTGACAGCGGCGCCGTGGCCGTCCCAAGTGTCCATTGCCACATTGTGGCTCCAGGGATTGCCAAACATCTTCCTAGAGAAGCGGCCCCCTGGTCATGATGCGCTGCTCCGTTTCCATCACTGGGCAGAGTCTGTCTGGCCGCGTTTGTCTCCAACACAAATTGGCTACATCCTCCTGATGACATTGCTTACATGCAAGCAGGAGCCGAGGAAACTGTCAATCAAAGTAGCGCTGCCGCGCCGCAGTTTCAGAAAGTCGCAGAAGACGTTGTACGCAACAAAATGCTGCAGAAATACACGGGAAAGTGCAGGAACTGTTTTTCGTGCAAGAGCTTGTTCTTGTGTTCTCCGAAACCCTGAGCGCAGAAGCTGCACAAACACATTCACGGAAGTCTCGCGGTAGTTTTGCAAGCAGCCTCAGCTTTCACAGAAGGCCTGCGATTGTAGTGCTAAGCTTTCCAAAGGCGCGGAATGGCGCGGAAGAATTTGCAGGAGGTTTGCCAGGAACAGCCGCTCATGTTACATATAAACTTGGGGCGGACACAGCCGGGGCCACAAATGCGTAGGTGTCGAAGCTGACCAATTGAAAGCTTGACCACATGCATGAGATGTGACGCGGCGTTTCTGAAAGGGCGTGGGTGCTTACGGCCTGTCTGCCTTCCTGAACTTCAAGTGTGCAGCGAGTCTGCCGCCTTACCTCTGCCGCAGATCAATGCCACGCCAACGGTTGCGGGGCACTCCGTGGCACTCCGCACCGTGAACCTCAAGGTTCTATTGGACAGTGGAACCAAGGAGATCGGGGCAAAAGATCCTTACCAGCTAACAGCAGCGCTGCCAGACTTAGCTGTTTCACTTTTTGCAGGGAGTTTAAGTCTGGCAGCCTCAGGTGGTGCAGACCGTGGACAGAAGCAGCCTGTTGTTGGTGTTGTTGGCCGTCGGCTTGAGTGCAAGGCTCTCTACATCAACCTGTTCCTTGTGCGTTTCGTTTGCATCATGGAGGCGCAAGCTGAGGGCTCACTTCCCAACGCTTGGTGCCAAACAATCATTTTTTGTGTGGTAGTGCTAGGGAAAGCTTTAAGCAATGTCTTGTAAGGCAAGTCCCCCGAGACCTGTCCATTGCTTGGGAGGGGTTTGGGAAGACCCCTGTGATCTAAATAGGGATCTGACCGCTTCCCGGCCCTGCTCCAAGGCGCTCAATTTGGCTCAAACTGTGTTTCTCACCTTTTTTTTACTTTTCAGGAAGTTTTCAAGGTTTTGGGACTGAACCAAGCGCGGGCTCAGCTTCGAGGCGGCGCAAGTTGGGTAGTGGTTGACCACAACTATGTATCATTTTTCATTGACTTGCGAATGTGTTTTAGGCTCCCGTTGGGTTTCAAAGGTGGGGTTTCAAGGGGCTTAAGCAAATGGAGGCAACCGTGTTCAGCCAACTTCACACTTGCAACCACGCCCTTTTTGAGGCGCCACCCTTTAGCGCTTCTTGATCCTTGTGAGGCTAGAGAAGCCGTGCCCATTTTGGGAGTCTGCCCAGAAACGAGAGCTTGTTTTCACCAGGCTTCACAGGGTTTGATGGGTTTCTAAAAACCACCGTGGTAGAACCAAAGGCATCTTCGATTCCTCGTTGGCTTTAAAGGAGTTCATCACTGCTGAAAATATGATTGTTTATTCCAGGGCTCGTATTCGCAAATGGGTTTGCCCCAAGTGAATCGACCCCTGCAACCAGGTCCTCTTTACCAACGCCCCAAACAAATCCCTTCAACTAGCCTTTAACATCTTTTGCTCTATTTTTCTTTTTAAATCAAACCCCGTTGATTTCTTCTTGAAGCCGCCACAGCCACCTGGAGGGTCTACCCCCCCCGCCTCGGCGCGGCGCCGAGGCCTCGGCACGCTGGCGGCCTGGGCCGTGCTGCGGCGCCGGAGCTTGGTGCTGGCCTGCGAGGCGGCTCCATGGTGTGTCCAAGCCGAGAACCTCCACTAGGTCCCCCAGCTAGGTGCCCTTTTTCCCGTTTTTGGAGGGAGGGTTGTTCTACTAAAATCGACTACAGAAAAAAGGGTGCCCATATTCTAACCTCTCTACGAAGGACCTAGCCATGGTCGAAGGCTGAACGTATATGCTCATTGGTATGAACCCCCTAAATAAATCTGCCTAGGAAAACTCACCGATTCGGGTGCAAAATTGAGCGTAAACAGATACAGGTCCTTTGTTTGGGGACCTGACGGATACTCACTCGGGTGTGTCACCAAAGAGGCAACAAAGTCACAATTGAAACCAGGTATGGGTGAATCGGCCCACCCAAATGTTGGAATTTTGCTTTTGGTTGAGTCGAACGAATCTGACCTTCTGGTTTTCCCAATGGTCCATTTTTGTTTTCCCCAAAAGTTGTGGCAACTAAAAGGTTGCCTTGCATCTCCGAGGATACCCCGTTTTATTGGGGTACCCCAAAATGAGATACCCAAAAGAGATACGGGGCCCAACAGATGGGATACCCCAAAAGGGGGGTAAGCTGGTTCAGTTGAACGCATGAAATATGCAGTAGAATGGATGCCCTGTTTGCAAGCAAGCCAGCCATACTTAACTACAAAACCATGGCAAATCATGGTAAGTTCCAGGGGTTGCCACGTGGGAGATTGCCCAGATTTCCGTTTTGGACGCATGTTGGCCACTGAACTGATCCATTGCAGGACACGCTAGACACGTCATAGGTTGGTTTTCGGGTTGCTACGCACATTCAGGATGGAACTGATTGGCTGGTTTTACCGTTCCGGCCATTTTCTGGCCACGGGTCCGCGTGATATGGTCCAAGAACCCCCCGCGGTCCACCACTTTGGGGCATATGGTGCATACCTGGGCTATGTCATGGTTGTTGTTGGGAAGCATTTTACATAGATTGCTTATTGTGGTTTAGTGGTTGAAATCCACCCACTGAACTGTTATTTTTTTAATTTTTTTTTTTGCTCCCCTTCCAACGTCAACCGAGATGTGAGTATCCGAGCCCAAGACTGAATGCAAGTGTCTTGGCACCTCAGAAGCTGACGTCGCTCCCTGAGTTCCTGGATTCTAAACTCTTTGGGGTTGGACCATTTTTTTTTGGGCGGTTCCCAGCCGTGCCGTTGGGTTTTAGGCGTTTGGGGCTTAGCGGGGGTTTCCATTTAACCCTCGAAAAGTTAAGCGTTTGGCAGGGGATCTGAGGCTCATATCGTTGCAAAGAAGCAGTTTGGACTCCTTTGGCGAATCCATCGGAAGTAAGTTACCTTGGGGTTTGCCGCCAAAGGCTGTAGCCCTTCATGCGCTTTGAGAGCCGGCTGTAGCTTTGCGAGGATCCCAAGAGCCATCAAGAGCCCTTCCGATGGATGGAGATCTCTACTGCAAAAACCTCTGCAATGGAGGGCCGAAATCTGATCAATTTTTCCAGCGGGCGTGGAGGTAAGATCAGAACCACACGAATCTTGGGACTGCCTTTTTGAGGCGCCCCTTTTCTTGAAACTCCCATCTCTCCAATGGAGGCCGCGTGCGTCTTGGTGCGGCTGGCTTGCAAGGCATGGGTTGGTTGGGGTCTGGGGGAGGGTGCATCCCAAAATGGCAGGCGGTGATGCTTTTGGTTTCCCTTTAGCATCAATCCCGGAAAAGGAGTAGCCGCAAAAAAGGGACACACCAGCCTAGTCCTGTTAATTACCTGTGGGAGCCCGACAGAGCCCCACTTGGATGTTCAATTGCCCGACGCAAGCGCGACATTTCACCATGATTATAAATAGGATACATGGGAATGACTTTTTTCTTTTTTTGCTGGTGGTATACCTGCTTAATCAGTGGGCTGAACAGGGGTACAGGATCAAGCTGCAAGGCGCTTGACAGTGGGAAAATGTCGCGACATTTTAAGACAGACGCCTCGATTGTGTGGACATGAATCTTCACCTAAATGATGTTTTTCCAAAGGGTTCCTCAAGACAATCATGCCCAAATCAAGCGAAGTCTTGCTTGAAACACTATGGATACATGTCCCCCCAAACCTCCGACCGCAGACAAAGGGTGAAACTCACCCAAGGACCCCCCCCTTTAAAGGAAGCCTGGTCAGTGTCCCGAATCCACGACCCCTCTCACCTTTTCGGTGCGCTCGAAATGCGCGACCCGGTCTGTGTTGGTGTCAGAAGACCATGGTGCACCAAATTTCGTTCTGGGCTTTAGCCACCCCCTTCAAAGATGTTTCAAGCCGGGTTTCTGCCTCAACTCCCCCCCCCCCGCCTCCATTTTGTGGGTGCCGTTTGGGTGTCGTTTTTTCAGGGTACGTTGTGCAAAGGAAACCAACAAGAGTTTTGATGGTTGGTCCCGTACAAAAACATACACTTTGATCGATCTCACCACATGAATCCCAGGTGTACCATGTCGGGTGCTTCAAACAACTTACCCTACACTCATGGAAGCTGACGATCGGAGGCTTCTGGAAGACGATCTGGGGAACCCCTCTGTCCACAGTAAGTTATGAAAATGGTTTTTGGAGCTAACTCCAGCCCCAGTTACAACCACGCTTCTTGGAGAAAGGTACCCATTGGGACAGCAACAAAATCGCAGAACCGAGGACTACTTTCCTTCTAAGGGGAGAAAGGTTACTAGATGTTCAACTGACATAGCAACCACGCTTTTTGGGGAACCAACAATCCTGGAAGCTGACGTGGACTACCTGACTACCTTCCTAAAAAAACCCTCTGTCCACTTCCTGCTGCTAGAAAGGGCGCTCTTGAGCTCTGAAGGTTGGGGAACCCCTCTTCTGCGGTTGGAGCAAGGGTACTGGAAGACGAAGCTTTCCTTTTGCTGCCCATTGAGACAACGACACAGACCGAGAGAGCGCCAGGAGAGCTACCGCAAGCGCAAGCGCGCCATGGTGGCCCCGGACGTGCTGGAGGAAGTGGGGGCTGCCTTCGAAACCCTTTGCCCTGCCAGGCCGGCGGCAGGCCGACTTGGCACTTGGGACTTGGGGCTTGGAGGAGGTGCAAAGGGCCCACCTTCGCTGTTGTTGGCATGTGTTTTTTCTTCTTTTTTCGCTGGTTTTGTTGTTTTCCTCGTTTGTTTTGTTCTTTCTGTTTTTTGGTTCAGTTCATGTGTACTAGGGGGCTGCAAAATCAAAGTTTGTGGCAACCATGCCAAGGGTTGTAAAGCCAGGTCGACGCTGGGGAACTTCGAGGTAAGGGAACCCCCCAAAAACCCTTAAGAACTCGAGGAAAAACACGTGAAAAATGACATTCCAGGGTTTGTGGAGGATCCTCTTGGGAAATCAACGAACCTTTTGCAGAACTTTGGCAGGGAGACCATGATGTGTGGCTTTCTACTTTGTTCAACCCAGGTCAGGTAAGTAGACCAAACAGCCATGCTTAAACCTGGGGTCGTTGCCCTGGATTGAACTAAATTACTGCCTGACTTTGGGTGTTTACCCCGAGATATGGCCGGGTCTGATAGTGAAGCCTTTGATTTAAACACCAGCTTGGGCGAAAATGGTCCGATAGTGTTCCTGCTGATAATTAGGCATCGCCATCGGTCCAATTTTTGAGCATTCCAAATACAGAAATACGCAGAAAATAATACTTGTATGTGTATAAATGTATAGATATGATACATAAATAAATATATATATATATATATATATATACATATCCATTATCTATTCCGCAGCTTTACGTGCGCGGTTGTTTTCCGCATATCTATGCTTCTTTTAAGGGGTATTTTAGAAAACTGAGTCTCACGTAATGATTGTAATAGAAGCAGGATTTAACACATTGCTTTTGAACAGACCATGCATAGAAGTAAACAACATGGTGTTATTATTAGTATATATATAATATGTATGTATGTATATATATATATGCACACGCATGTGAAGTGTTTAATTGTTGTTTTGTTTTTTTTGTTTAAGAAGCATAATGAATATATTGGTATATACCATAGTAAAGCTATTTTGTTCAAACAGCATAAAATAAGGAATACACATGCGGTGGGGTGAGACCAGACACATCGCAGCCCATCTGGACCCTGGAACACCCGGCGATTCTTATGGCTCAAGTACTGACCTGTATTGGCTTCGATTTGACGCCCTTGTAGAGGGTACATGGGAAACCACCCCGAAACACCACACATCTCCGCACCTCCAAGTCTGATGTCAGGTTGGCCGTGCTTTTTGGGTTGGAGGGCTCTTCCAGTTCAGATCTCTGACGTCAACAAAAGGCAAGGGTAGTCTATGGCTTGCTGGAACCCCTCGATTCAACACGTTTCAAGTTTACCACGTGTAGTTGCCAGAGTCTAACATGTGGTGTTTTTTGTGCGAGGCCAAAGCTGAGTCAATTGCTCCCCGGTTCAACCAAACAGGTGTTGGCAAGTTGGTGGCATGACGAACGACTGTTTTACTTCGGAAGCCTTGCCCGCGAAGGGATGATCCCACCATTGTCCCTGGATTTATCTCAGAACAGGTAAGGAAGTATCAACTAGGAAAGTGCAGGATGTGTCCCAGCATATGTTCTTGATTGTAGACTGCGAGGCACTGCAATGGCTATGTGAGATCAAAACGGGCGTGGCGCCCAAATTGTAACGTGATACATATTACATGAGAACAAAAGCAGAGACACAAGAACAGAACAAAGTTCCGTAGCTATTGGGCTGCTTCAAAATCATACACGTGAGTCATCAAAAGTCGCACATGGATTGGTGCAGCTAGTTCTCTCTAAAATGTGATTGCCACCTAGTTGTGCGCATGAAGGACTCTGTATGTCCTTGGCTTCTCCGTGACGCAGTCCATGACGAAAGTTGAAAGGAATACGCTGGTAGACGGTGAAGACAATGCAAACCATTGAGGTGGGCCGATAAGCCGGTCAGTCGTATTGTTGCGCCTTCGCTTTTGACTGCTTCGGTCTTTGATGCCACTGATGGCAAAGCCAATGCAGTGGAAGCAAGCCGCGGAAGGCAGTGAATCAAGTTTACCCTTGGTAGCTTTCATTGACTTCCCTATATAATACTGACTTTGCCTGGAGACACCTTGCGGCAGCTGTGCAGCAGCATGCTGACGAAGCCCTTGCCTCCTTCGTGCGCCTAGCGTCCTGACCGCGATCCGCGGCCAGCTTGTGGAGCAGGCAGATTTGTGGCAGCCAGAATTGAGCGCATGCGATACTGAGTTCAATATTCCTTTGCTTGACGCGCGGCAACTTGGACTTGATGGCATCTTCTAACGAGTTGCTGGCGGAAATGCGCCCCCATGGCTCGAGGAGGGCAATGGTTCTTGGTTTTCCGGCCCTGCGTGGCTGCTACAGTACAGGGCGAGAGGGAAGAAGAGAGATACAATCACCCTGGCTCGCAGTTGAGTTGCATGTTTGACCTCTTTCTTTTTTACACGCAGCTTGGCTGCGAGCTTGTGAGTCTTGGATTTCCACCGTCCTTGAGTTGCACTTGGCTGAGGTCGCGGCAGGTGCGATGGCTTCGCAGTACAGCGTTGTTGCTTGCTGCCTGCGCCGCGACACCGGGGCTTCTGCTAATGCTGCATGCCACAGCTGGGCAAAGCTGGGCGTGCCGTATATCACTACAAACCACGGCATATTACAGACGTGGCCGTCGTGCCTGTGCCAATGATTGCGTGGCGAGATGATAGGGTCGATGTTCTTCAAAGGCAATGGCATTGAACATGGCCCAAATGAGCGCACTTTTCAGAATTCAGCCTGGGCCCCCAATCGGTCCGCAGGATCAGGGCAGCAGGCGCAAGTGTTTGTTTGCCACCTGCGGCATGTTGCGGACTTTGACAATTTCCAACCTCGAGAGCTACAGCTCCCAGCCTGCCTGTTTGTGTCTCTCTCCCGCCCTCTCGCTGTTTGTCGTTGTGTCCGTCTGCAGCTCAGCAGTGGGCTCGGACGGAGAGGCTACAGGCCTGACCCCGCAGATCCAGCGCTCCAATGGTTTATGAACTTGTTGTTTGCCGCTATGGTCATCTAAACCGAGGACAGTGCCGGACCTTGACCAGTCGTCGCACCCGACACCACACTTTCTCACGTGCGAATACACGTTGATCAAGAGAGCGCAACACGAGGCCCGTCTCGGTTGCTATTTTTCGAGGAGCCCTGCAAGGCGCAGCTGGTCGTTCAGAAGCTGTTCCTGCCAGAACCCCTCAAGTGTTGGATACTTGGAATCATCCTCGGAGTGGAAATCTTTATGAGGGTGGTTCTTGTTTGTGGTTTCGCAAGGGCTGCGCTCTTTCTGTGTGGGGCCTTGCGGTGTGCTCCTTGCAAATTTTCTTAGTTTGATTCAACTCCTTGCCGTAAACTGGCTAGAAGTCGTTCATGAAGGACGCCACTTAAAATTGAGCTTTGCGCTTTTTCTGTCGAGATTGTTCTTGAGGAGGAAACAACCCCTTGAGACCTCTTGTCTGTCGAGTCGGAGGTGCCGACGCAGATGAAACAATTACTGGAGAAGACCGATCAGTGAGAGCGGTTGTCTCAGGAGCCCTATTGGCAGAGAAACTGTTCTTGGGATGATGATATATATATATATATATATATATGTAAATGTATATAAACAAATGAGTTCATCGCCGTGCAGTCGCCCCACTTGCGTGGCTCCACTGATGTGAATGTGGTCCAACCGTCAATGAGCTCCTCACATTTGGACCAGCTGACACGTTCGTCGCACAACGGCGGCAACTTGGCAGATTGATTGTTTCCTCTTTGCTTCTGACACAACGCTTTGGGTTTGTGTAGGCCGTCGTGAAGACTTCTCCGTCTGATGGCATTTTCTACCACGCTTGTAGCCCGTGCACAAGGGACTAGGAACTTCGAACGAATGAGCCCGCTATTGATCCAGAACGGGTAAGGACACATCAACTGGGAAAGTACAGGGTGTGTCCTGGTGTACGTTCCGAATGCCAGACTGCAAAGGTACGGGCATTTCGATTTTGCCTAGAGGGGCCATGTTGGCATGCTGATCAATGGATGCAACCTGTTGCACTGGGACGAAATGGATATGTCTATCCATGTAACAAAGGGAACCATGGGGCAACCAACCATGAGAAAGTATGGTGAAGCCATAGCCGTTGGACAAACCCTATTTCCCCCCAGTAATTAGACTGGTGAAATCGCTGGCTGACGTCAAGAAACCTCCGTGGCCCATTTTGCCCCAGGTGAAGATGGAGGCAAGGATTGCTGCAGAGCGACAGGCCAAAAGCTGAAGCAGGCAGTCCTGAAGCGCGTTCCTTCATCGCACACAGAACGATGCGAAGGGACCTGCAGCGCCATTTTGCGGGTGTGTTTTGTCTTTTTTTGCGGGTACCTTTTTTGTGGTTTTAGAGGGAGGCCAAACACGCACCACCCAGTTTGGGGGTGCCCGCAATTTTAGGGCAGTTCTTTTGAAGGGGGTGGCTCTTTAAATCAAGCACCAGTGTTTCTAGGGGTCGATGCCGAATTCAGTGTTGAAGGTGCTCTTCTGGGGGGATTCCTAAGTGCCAGTTGGTGAGGAGTCGTTGCAGATATTCGTGGGGTCTCCGCTAAGACTATTTCACAAATTTGAGGGTGGGCTGAAAAAATGATCCGTTTCATTGGCTCCCAAGAAAGTGTTCTCATCATCCATTGAAGGAATTGTGTTTTCTCTTTTGTTGGAGGTTTCCCTTGGTTTCTGGCTTCCTTGGTATGAGTTTGGGTTTCTAAGGAACATGGTTGGTCATGGTACAGGTGTTAGACTTTGGTGACATCAGCAAATCCGATACGATGGGTTCTCTGGACCATTGGCCATTGGAAGCATGATGCTGACATGTTCCCAAGTACTTCCACGCGCATGAATCTGAAACCCAACAACATGATTCATTGGTTGAGTTCTCTAGAAATGTCTAGTTGGGTTCCATGTCAATCTGTAGGGAAATACCATATTGCGCTCACTCAAAGTCTCAGGCTTGACGTTTTGGTTAAACCATTGAGTCGAAGTATGTTTGAGCGGGGTTTCTACCACTTTGTTTTGATCCACCCGTTCTCGGTCTCGGTCCCGGTCTCGGTCCTAAGTGATTTGCATGGGACAAGCGACGGTTGAACCAGGGGCAACATTTGAGGAACCAACGTGCCGTGGACGGGCGAAATCCTAACAAACAATGGTCTCAACGATGGTTTCATTTCATCCTGCCCAGATTGGTCTTGGTGAGAGCGGAGGGGTCCAGTTCGGGGCCAGTGGGGAGAACCGGACTTTGGACCACCCAAATTGGTTGGCTTCCGTTTGGCCTCCCCTGGAAACCAAGCAAAATGGGTAGCCTCCCTGCCCACGAACAAAGCGCCTCACATCGGGTCCTTGAAAAACCCAATCCAGGTTCCCCCCAGGTGCCATGTCTGATTTGGGGCCTGTTCATCTTCTCGGAAATATTTGATTGGATGGAAAGATGAACAGGATAGAGGGGAAAGTTAGGGAGGGGAAATGGAACTCCAGAAATCCAGACACCATCCACTTCTCTCTCACCCGCTTCTCTCGGTTTAACGGAGTGGCTCTGAGACTCATTCCTTGGCAGCTCCTCAAAAAAACGAGCCAGGAATTCATTCCAATGGGGTGCCCAGGACCTTCGCAAGGCTTTTTGTGCCCGGATGCAAAACAGGTCAAGCTTCCGGGAAGGTAGCCCGAGAAAGCTAGAAGGCGGCGCCAAGAGTAATCCCCAGCTACCATCATGTGACTTATCTGACGCTTGAACGTCCAAGTGGCAAGGTGTCAGTGAATGCGGCTGCTTTGGCTCACAGATCCAGGGGCATTTTGTGCGTGGGTACAGAGGCGCAGGGGGCAACGACTTGCCGAATCTGGGACCCTTCAAATGGCATCATTTTGCATGGGGTATGGGCTCACTAAATGTGGACCAGAATGCAAACAAGTCTTTTTTGATTTAGCAAAAGCTGAGGCGGAAATGGACATGTCCCAAAACGGAATCCTGCTGCGGGACACGACACGACCCGCCAATCCAATCCCCGTCCCATGCACCACTTTGTTTCGCCGACCCTAACATTTTTTCTTGGCCTCCAAACCGGTCGCCGGTTGTCCCTTTTTGGCAGACAGAAAAAACCCAGGGGCTGGGGATGGCTGGAGATAAATCTAAGGGCCCAGAAGTCTCTGATTTGAATGCAGCCTAACTGCGCATGGGTCAACAATACATCACCAGGGGCCGCAGAGTTGAGTCCCTGCTTCCATTTACCAGGGACTGCTTTGGGCACCTATTTATGGCCTGATTTTCTAGCCCTGGTTCCCCTGTTGCCCGGAATGATTGCTTTGACATAGGCAGAAAGGGGTTGTAAGTTCTCCCAAGAATGGATGCTCTCGCAAGAAATTGAGATCAAGGCAAAAGCTGGCACAAACCCAGCACACAGGGGCAAACGCCGATTTTGTGGACTTGCAACTTTTTGAGAAGAGGTTTCAGTGGTAACAAGTTTGGACCTTTGTTTGGCCCATCCACTCTATCGGAAATAAGAGCTTCGCCAAAAGAACCATGAAAGAAATCGCGAGAACTTGGGAAGCTTGAACGACTTGCACCTAAGCAAGCTGTCTGAACGGTTTGGTCATAGGGCCCTTCCACTTGTGCTTGGCCAAGGTGCCGCGTTCCAGTTGCTTACCTTCCATTTGTTCAACAGGCTGAGGCCCAGCCAACCTTCAGGTTGGCGCATTCTTCCGAGGAAGTTGCCCTAATGTGATAATTGATTCACAGTGTGTCAATATAGGATATCCCTTTTTCTTGGTGAAAAGGGGCCATGCTAGGGGTCCAAGCCCCCTTGACAGACATATCCAAATTGGGTTGGCAAATTTCATTCCCAATTGCCCAGTGGCACCTTGTTCCGTTCTCTTTGACCAGGATTTCCTTTTAACATCAACCAACAACAAAATGATGCGCTTTCTGGAAATTTGTTTGGGACTCGTAATCTGGCATCCTACTGCTGGTTTGGTTTGAGGATTTGACCCCGTAGAGGGAAACTGTGAAAGCCCGGAACACACCACCCAGCCCCAACCCCCCCGGGCCCCCACTCCCCGAAATTGCAGAGTGGATGCCTCCGTTTCGCGTTTCGCAGGCATGGCTCTTGTAGGCGCGGCTTCCAACAGCGCCGCCGCTTTTGGCATTCTGAAGTCGTGTCGTGCTCCGGGCCAAAACTCGGTTGTCACAGCTTGCGATAGGATTCTGCCGAGATCCATCCGATATCCTTTCAATGAAGTCTGACTCGCAATCAGATTTCAGACTTGGCTCCGCTGTTTGGCTATGGGTCAAAATTAACCACCAGGGGACCGCAGGTTTTAGTCATTGTTTCCACCAGGGTTCCATTTTGCAACCAGAAAAGCCATGTGTTCTTTGTAGCCAGAAAAGCCACCGACTTGTTGCGGGGGGACGCCTGGCCACAACTACGGACAATAAGGCGATTGGGTTTTTGGGGCGATGTTTGTGTCTTCCAGGTTGATGGTTTGTTCTCGTTTTCTGGTCCACGTCCTCTCCGTATAGTGTCATGGCCTATGAGAAGGGACCGGACCGATCCCTTGCCCCTAGGTGCGCTGGTGGATGCCTTCGCGGGGCTTGATACTGTGGATGGACGAAATCCTGCACCACTTTGAAACCATGGGAAACCATTGTTTGTTGGTATTTACAGGGGAATCATCATTCCAGGGTTTCTTTGGTGGTGCAGGATTTCGTCCATCCACAGTATGGGTTTGTGTGTGTATGTGCGCGCATGGGGAGTAGCATTTGTGGGCGCGACAAGTTGAGCTGGGTTTTTTGGAAAGCAAGAGGCACATCGAAGCGATTTTGGGGGCCCAAGCCTCCTCTATTTGGATGAGACCCATTCCAGGACGCAAAATTTGTTGAGCGTCTCTATTTTGGGCGGTTCAAGATCGGTGCGATAACAAGGGATCCGCGTTCGGTCTGGGATGTCTGGGTCAGGACGTGGCATTTTGTGAAGGACTTGCCCCCTCGCAATCGCTGCTCACCGATGCGGGGGTGCGATGCAGGGCCCTTCCCCTGGGGAGTTTTCGTGGTGCAAGGGATGACTTGATTCTTACCTCTTAAAAACACAACTTTTGTGGTGTTCCCCACCAAAACAGGACCTCGAAATTTGATTCGCCCTTTTCTTGCTGGTGCGATTTCGGGAATCACCGAGACCGGGTCTTGTGGGAATGAACCGGTTTCGGGTCCCGAAAAAAAGGAGACCAACTCGGACGGATTTCTCGGGGTCATTCCACATTTCTCATTGCCTATCGCACCAGCAAGGTGAACCCTCTATTTTTGAGGTGTACAGTTTAAAGGTCTACATTCCAGAACACCATATATCTGAGGGTTTTGCGTTTCTCAAAGCACCCGGCAAGTTGGTCTGACGATATTCTTAGGATATATTTTGGGGTTTTGCGCACTGGCCACTTGGTCTGAACCCTCTATTCTTCAGGTGTCGGGTTTTTCCCAGGGGTTGTCCTTCCACACGCTCTCATTCCACACGCATCTCTCGAAGCGGTCGCTCCACGCAGCTCGAAAGCGCCAGGTCCAAGTGGCTGGCTCCTCGAGGCCCGAAGTTTAACGCGAGTCGCGGGGCGGCGTGGGCGTCTTTGGGGCTACCCCTTAGAACTGTGGGAATTCGACCCGTTTTTTCTCCAGGGTGGTTTTTTGTGTGGTTGTTTGGTTTGCCCGTGCTTGTTTTCTTCTTTCTTAAATGAGTCTTCGTGACCCTGAAACAATTTGGGGGGTCTAATTACCCAAAAGAAGGGTGATCACCCAGTGTTAAAGAAAGCGTCCTGGCAGTGGCCATCGGAGACAAAAGAGAAGTTATTTGCAAAGGGGCCCACCCCCTGAAACAAAAGTTGAAAACCGGAAGTGGGACTCACTGGAGGTCTGCCAATTCCTATTTTGCAAAAGAAAAACAGTTGGGCGTGTCCTTCTTGGGCCAAATTTGGCACCTGGAGTCAACAAAAAGAAACAGGAAGTACGAGAGAAGGATTCCGGAAAGCATGGCAGATATGTGATCGTCAAAGGGACCCTGAAAATCCCACATTGCAATTATTGGAATTCACTTCTACTAATTGCAATGATTGCAAAAGGTGATCACCTGGTTTCCCTTGGTCCATTGGTTTCCATTGGTTTCCTCGATGTCCATGTTTAGTCAAGGTTCGATCCATTTCCAGGTCCTCAGATGGGGGGGGCGGAAGGCCCAGGGCCAGCCTTCTCGCGGCCTTGGTAGCCCTTCAGATTCTAGTTTGGACGAAATGTCAAGACCATCTTTACTGTTACTTGGCCTGCTTTTTGGCTTGTTGTGTTTTTGGCTCTGTTGGTTTATATTTTTAGGTTTGGGAGCTTTTTAAAGACGGTCAGTTGGTTGCAAGCCCATAAGGGTTGTGAAGCCATGGCTTCGCCCGAAGAAAGTTCGGGCCTGGCGGTCCATAAGGCGGCATCGCCTTCGTGGAAACTGTTTCAATTGGGAAACCAAAGGGAGACTAGGGGTTTAGGCCTTATCCCAACTAAACCGGGTAGAAGTAAAATGGCCAATGCTCTAGGGGTTGATTCCTTTTCCATTCTTTTCAACAATCGTTCTTTTCAAAAACCAGCTGTGCTGTTTCTTCTTTTTTTTTCTTCTTTTTTTTTTCTGGGGTTCTGATGGTTTTCTGCAAAGAAGGATCCCTGGAAAGAATGGGGAAGTGTCCCTTAGAAAACTGCCCAGTTGTTCCTTTGGTTTGTTCCTTTGGTTTGTTCGTTTAGTAGTCCTACTGGATGTGCAATTGGATCCTGAATTTTGGGAAGCCGGGATTTGGAGACCATGGGGGGCGGTTGTTGCTTGGGAATGGAATGAGGGAATGAAGCTGAAGGTTCCCTGAAAGGAAACCACCAGGCACGGTTTCTAGGGGTCATTCCAATTCTCATTCCCCTGCCTGTCGCACCAGCAAGTTGTCCCAAAATCGCGTCCCCCGGTTTTGAGGCAACCTTCACCGCTTTGCCAAAATCGCGCCAGCCTGCCCTGCCGCGCGCCTCTCCCGCGCCGCCCCGGGAGATCCGCCGAGTCCACGGCAACGGCTTCTTGGCACGGACAGTTGTGCGAGAGGGGTCGCCTTCGGAGGCGGCAGAGTTGGACCCTTCTTAGCTGAATGGTACACACTCTGGGGGGACGCAATCCCTGCACTTGGGATAGATGAAACCCTGCAAATCATGGGATAAACCTCCTATGCCTTTGGAGAGGTGCCTTTGGTGTGATCCGACATAGCCAGAGCCAGACCGTGCACGCCATTCCGCCTTTGAAGCACGCCTGAATTGGGAAGCAGCAGGATTACTGATTGCTACTTGGGTGTTCGGCGAAGTTTTCGTAAGTTGTCAGCAACCGTTTCGGTTGTCCCCCAGTTATGGGGGAAATCTATAGTCAGTGGGTGACAACCAGGGTGGCCTTTTCCACTTAACCTGGCAAATCGAACACCCTTGGGTATCTTTGTCGACTTGTTCTCAAGATGGCCGGTGCCTCATGCCCCCCTGTTGGTTGAAGGAGAGCAGGGACACCAACCAGTTTAGTCCCCTCAAAGAGTTTGCGAGGAAACTCAGGCCAGAACACTGTCATGGTTGTAGTTTGGACACATTTTCCCCGTTTATGCTTATCGTGGGTTAGTGGGACACCCCCACTTAACTGCTAAAATTTGAATTTGTTTGCTCCCCTTCCAACGTCAAGCAAGCTGTAGGCTTGTAGCGGATCCCACTTTTTGCGGAAGTTTTTTTTACGGGCTTCTCGCACGGGCACCTTTAACCGCCCCTGGAAAGCGGGTTTAAGTAGGAATGCTCTTAAGGCCACCTAAAAGCGGTTTTTGCCGTGGACATTTGAGAAGAACTTGAAAGAAAAGGAGCTGTAGGTCACCGGGAAAAAGGGCGGGGAGGGAGCCCAACTGTTTGTCCTAAATCAGCCCCTCGGGCTCAGGGCTTAGGGCTTTTGGGCTCCCACCCCCCCCGCTCCTCTCCCCCCCAAGGGTTTTAAGGAAAATCCAGTTCGTGAAGTCCTTTTGGCTTTCCGAGAGCAAAGTTCTTTGAGAAAGGGCCCAGTGCACCTGCGACCGGTTTGTGGGAAGGATGCAATAAAGTTCACCTGGCGATGCTTTCCTTGGTGGCCCCCAGCCATCCGGTTCCTTAGCTTTTTTAGCCTTTTAGTGTTTAGTGGGGTTTTCAATTTAGCCCACTAAAAGTTAGCCCCTTTTAGCGGGGGATCTGAGGACAGCCCAGTTTCCGTTCCCCAGGGTTGAGTCGTAGATCTTCTTGTATTTGCGATTTCTTTCTTGCTTTTGGAGGGGCTTGTAGGCTTGAGCGACACTGGGCATGGACGGCACATGTTGGCTGCCTCTGCAAACGTTACCGTCATCAAAGGGGCGCACATGTCCGTTGAGTTGTTCAATTTACGTTTAGGGTGACCTCCCGGAACCTGATCCAATGCTTTCCATTTCTAGCGGTTCCTGGCGCAACTGAGTAACTGTTGAACCGATCGAATGCGAACGCCTTGCTGTTGGGTTTACTCTCGTTTCGGAAGTGTCCATCGACGAGCAGGAGGTGTCCCATTCCTAAGGCTTTGGTTCTGCTCAAGGCGCTCGGCTTGGGTAGTCATGCAAGTTTTTTACTGGACATATGGGTGTGGCTCAAAGTTTAAGAGCCAGGGCAAACCGCAGGTGTTAGTCTTTGGTTCCATTTACCAACGTGCCATTTACATGTTTTTGAGCCACAGGCATATGTTCACTTGACCCCTTCAAAGCCAAACTGTTTAGACTTCTTGCTTATCATCTTAACCCAGGAGAAGATCCGAGATCCTCGCGAGATAACGCGATGTTCCCCGATTTCTGACTTGAAAGTCATCCGGTTTCCTTGCCCACGGAAAGAGTATGGTGTAAACAACCAGTACTCTCAGGGATGCGAACTGTCCATTCCTGGCTTGGGTGCTAGATTTTACACATGTGCGTGGGTTTCTTGGGTACGATTTTCAAGGTTGGTTTACAAGGACGTCAAAGGAAAACCACTATTTTGGCCGAAATTCCTATTGCCTGTAGTTCCTGGGGTTTGATTCCCCATTCTTTTCAACCATCCTTCTTTTCAAACACCGATCGCCGTGGTTGATGGTTTGAAGAAATTCGGATCCCCGGAAAGAATGGACATGGAAGCTTCCCCTAGTTGTTTTTTCTTTTTTTGTCTTTTTCTGTTTTTTGCCTACCCTTTTAAAAGGATCCCTTGGATGGTGTTTGTGGCACATACCCTTGTTGTCTTTTCAAAACCTCGCTCCGCAAAGATGCGCGCCGCGGGCACGTTTTTTTTGGGCCCTTCGGAGCGCCTTTCGAGGCCGCAAGCCGCGAAGCTTCGGCTCGGTGCAGGCGCGCTCTGTGCGGTTTGCGCTTTTTTGGGCCTCGCAGAGTTGGTCGGGAACGTTTTTCGGCCATTTCCAAAGCGCAAACAGCGTTCCTCGCTCGATATAGATAAGTATATATATATATAAATACATATATATATATATATATAGATATGCATATTATGGATGGTTTTGCGAACTCCGTTCCCGCCACTTTGCAATTGTGGGAGACATAATTTGTGGTGGGTTCGAGGGAATCGAATCCTTCCAGGGTTTCTATTTGTTGCAGGATTTCGTCCATCAGTGAGCCTGGTAGTGTTGGGAACCATACCAATGCGAAAAGCAAGAAGACTTCAAGCAACTCGTGTCTTGTGCGGGATTGAGCCAGCCGAAATGACGCAGGAAAAAAAAGTGCGGGGCAGTCTTGCAGCTCAGATTTGGCCAGAGAAGCGTTGCAGCATCCACTTCCGGTCCGAATCCTGGAAACCACCGGCCTTGAGCAGCATGCGCTTCAGGCAAATGACGCCCTTTTGGCGGTCGACAGGCCAAAAGGCCGACTTCTTGAGAAAGCCGTGGACGGATGCTTTTGACAGATTCCAGGTCCTTGGTTCTGAAGTTGACACCAAAAGGATGTGAGGGCCAACACAGAGGTAGTTTTCAACAAACGGACAGACCTCGGGGTTGTGCTTCAATCCTCGGTTGTTTTTTGCTTTTGCAACCCGTGCCAAGCTCGTAAAGTTACCCTTGCGCCACACCCGTAGTTTAGTATATTTTGTCCGTCCCCAACCCATACTTTGGGTGGGCTCGGTTCTTATGCCAAAGCCCTGGCTGTTGCTTACCCGTTTTGTAAGATATGCGAAGTTGTCAATTTTGTGATTCTAGACTTGTTTTACATGTTTTTAGCGGTCTTGGGCTGCTTAGGTCGCCTTTTTTTCAGGCCATTCAGGAGCTCAGGTAGCTGTGGGGTGGCCTTGGAATTCAGCGGCCACGGATCAAGAAGGATTCTGTGCAACCCAGGGCACCCGCGGCAAACAACGCGCCACCTCCGCTTTTGGGTGGACCTTGTTTTGGAGGCCTTGGGAGACGTTCCGCGTTTTTGTTTTGTTTTTGTTTTTTTCCTTTGGGACCTCAGCGATCCAATTCCCAATGCAACGAGATAGATGTTCAGATGAATCCATTTCATCCTACGCAGCTGTGGCTCAAATGGAAGCCCCAAAATGGCACCCGCCAAAAAGGTATATGGAAAAGACCAACACCTGCGGTTTGCTCCAGCTGACTATCTTTTGAGCCACACCCACATTTAATGTTGGGTCGGTTTGAAGTCTGGGTTCTCCTTGGAGAGTCTGCATAGTCATGAGCCTTAGCATATCAGGTCCATGGCGATATCTTGTGGTTTCACGCCAAAACTCCCTGAAACTAGCCCTAGACCCCACTCTAACTACCCTCCCTCAAATCATGGAAGCTCGTGCTCACAGGTGTGGCAAGACTACTTTGCTTCTGAACCTCCCGATCGCCCACTTCCATGATTCCTGTCTTTCGAGGCAAGCCCAACTAGACCCCCGACTCAGCTTGAGCTGTCAGGCAGCGCTGTGTGCGGCCTGCGCGGCGTTGCGCAGCAGGCAGCCTAAGGCGAGATTGCGACAGTGCTGGGTGCGATAGGCAGAGAATGAGGGAATGACCCTTATGAACCGTCCAACTGGTGGTTTCCTTTAAGGGAATGCCTAGGTTCATTCCCACATTCCCTACTGAGCACCAGCAAGTTGGGACAGTTTTGGGCCGTTCTCCTTGTGGTTTTCTTGGAGGACATGGGGAGACATGGGGCAGAAATGCTGTCGTTCTCCTCTTGTTTGATGGGACTCCTTTTCGCTTTCTTTCGGTTCTCATGCTTGGTTTCGGCTTTTGCTTTTGCTAGGCAAGTAAGCAACCCTGTGCTTGGGGGGGGTTAGCTCAAACTGGCAGAGCGCGTTTATTGGTGCGGGTTCCCCTTGAAACAAAGCAGCCAACAGATGATGGAATTCTTTCTAGGTGGCTCGTCTTTGTTTGAGGATGACACGACCAAAGGGAAACATGTTGCGGCATTTGGGGAGTCCCCTAAAGAGACACCCCCTTTGCGGGTCCAAATTGAAAGACCAATAGACAACCTCAAAAGAGCAACTGAAATGTATCGTCTTTTTTGTTGCTGGTGCGCAGTAGGGAATGACTCCAATGACGCAGGGTGTTGGGAATGGAACCAACATTCTTGGCATTGTGTATAGGGGTCGTTCCATGTCTTATCGAACCAGCAAGTTTAAGGTCACCCCCACCCCGAAAAGCAACCCCACATTGAACGCAGCCGCAGGCCGCCAGACACGCCAAGGATCCCTCCGCGCAGGGCAAAGGCGAGGCGTCGTTTTTCACGGTCGTTGGGGCTTCCTTGAGCAAGCCTTTTGAAGTTCTCTGCACCGTTGGACAACCTTTCCCACTTTGATGGATATGACCTTTCCCGCTTGGATGCTCAGCAACCAAGGTTATGAGGGAAGTAGCATGGCTACAATCAATCATCACAACGTTTATGAGTGTTGCACGCATCCCCATTGCCATGTTTTGAAATGACTCGGAGTTTGTTTGTTTCCGGATGATGTTGAAGAGGGACACATGGCACCTTGGTCGAACGCTTTCTTTGTTCGGGGCCGGCAGGGATGGTCAAGTGCCCTTGATGTGGATTCTAGAAAACCAGCGTACGGAGTCTCATCTGGCCCGGACCTTTGCCGTTTGTCACACATCAGGAGCTTCTAGGGATACCTTCCCCATTCTTTCCAGGGACCCTTCCTTCTAGAAAACCGCCGGAAACCCGAACGGATCTGGCTTTCGAAAAGGAGGATGGTTGAAAAGAATGGGGAAATGGAATCAAGCCCTTGAAGCATCAAAGTGGCACACAGCTTTCCGCCCAAGCCCCTTGCCAGGCGAGCCCGGCGAGGCCCGGCCGGCGGGGCCTTCGATTCGGAGGGTCAGGAGACTCCAGGTGAGCCCAGAAAGAACGGTTGATTTTGATCGGGGTGACGCCACATTTGGGTAGATGACCATCATTTTTCAAAGGGTCATGGAGACTGCAGGTTATTTGCGCTGCCCTTGCTGTATCCTTGAATCTCTATCCTGAAGCTGTTGAGCCTTTTTGCATGGTTATTCCGGCTTCAATTCTGAATTGAAGTCCAGAACAACGGTCAACCTGTTAAGCTGGTGTCAGCCCGAAGTGGTTGATACTGTGAGTTCTCGAGATATTGCCAATCATATGGGGCGAGCAACATACTGGGACACCTTTCCATGGTGGATTTGTCACAGGGCGTGCACTCGACGATCAGTTTCCTCTTGACCCGCCTCACCCAAGAGCCGCAGAAGGCAGCAGGATGTGTACTTCCATCCTCCATTTGCTCAAGTCCCTGGAAAAGAAAAATAGGTGGATCCAGTAGTGATAGATTCCCTCTAAAACTAACAGGGGAAAATAAACAATTTTTAGCCAAATGGAAGCCATGCAAGCAAACCCCCCCGTCTTTGGCTCAGTGCCATGAGTCCTTCCCATGTGCTCGGTTCAGGCATGGAACGGCGACAGGTTCCAGGAACCTTCCCCAGAATTAGCTCCCCTTTTTGGTTTTTTGCTTTTTGGGGGTCCCTTTGTCTTCCACTCACCAGGCAAATATATATATATATATATTTTGGCTGGGGTCCTAATTCCAGCCAAGGAACCTTTCGGAACAAGTCCTCAAAAAGCCAGCTGGGAAAGTTATAACAAGCTCACCGTCGGGTCTGTTTGTTGGCCTTCCTTGGGCGAATTCCATGTTTCCAGTTGTCATCTTTGTTTGTGCAGATGTTTGTGGGTCTTGGTTTCGGGGGAGGATCCCACACATGTTCAGTTGGCAACAATTATTTCGTGACTAGTGCTTTGATGCTTAGAACACGTTCGATTTCAAAAGGACGAATGGCTTCTGCAGCATTCCATCCCAGATTGGTGGATTGTTTTGTTCTCAGGGGCTTATAAGTACTATCATTCTATGATCATATGGGTATGTGTCAAACATTTGACCCACACAAACATGGGTGGCGGAATCGCTTGGATTCCTGTTCAACCAAGCTTTGAAAGGGCATGCTGAAAAACACATATGGCAAGTGGGGTTCAGTGGCTTGCCTTGTGAGACCCATATAGCACATATAGCACATATAGCAAGGACCCGGGGGAGAGTGGAGGTTCTGCGCACACACCCAAAGATCATTCCCCACAACTCAATGTGGCTGTGGCTCAAAAAACCGGTACCAAAATGGAACCCTGGTAAGTGGAAACATGGACCAAGACCTGCGTAACCCCTCCTGTTTAATTTTGAGCCACACCCATGTGAGTTTTATGGTCCCCCACGAAGCCGTTGAACAGTTTTCGTGCCGTCTAGTAGCCCTTCCAGCCACCGACCCCCGGCACCCTGAAATTGATCTACCAACAGTCAGCGCTCTTTGTTTCCACAGGGGAAATCATGTGGGGGTTGAACATTCCGTTCCGGCCCCCTTTTTGACCATGGCTGATAGCTCAAGTCTGCTTCGTGGCTGGCAACCAATGGTCAACCCCCACGTGGGCTACAACTGCCAAGCCTAAGGGAGGCCAGCAATACATGGCAAGTTGCATGGGGCCATGATCCCTAGGAGCCGCTGGATTTTTGTTGGTTTTGCTATGTTTTTTTGGGGGGGCAAAAACTGTATTTCAGGTTTGCGGTGTGTTTTTTTTGGGCAACCATTGCCCTTTGTTTTTACCTTGGGTCATCCAGATTGATTCGGTTTTCTTGGGCCGTTCTGCGGACGCTCCTGATACTTCAGCTTTTTGTTTGGTCAGGTCAGTTTCGGAGACGCCGGTTTTCTGAGATGTTCAAGCTTGATTAGTCAGGTTATAACTTGTAACGGTTATAGCTAGTGGGGTTAACTTTCCACGGTCATCACCTTGGCTGAAGATCCAAGGTGACCCTGAAATTCAGGCAAGCCACCAAAAACCCAATTTTTGGGCTCACGCATATATCCACCCTTGTTCACCCTTCAATCATATCATCCAAATTGAGAGTCCCCTTTGCCACTCCTACGGGGGGCGTTCGCAACATGGTTCAGGTTCACGAGCCGAAAACAACGATCCCCTCGGTTTTTGGTTTCTTCAGGCGCCGAAAGCCGAGAGCGCTCCGAGCGCCCAAACGACGGGCCCGAGCGCCCCGAGCGCCACCGAGAGCGAGGCGGAGGCGGAGGCGATTCCCGGGCTTTGGGCCTTTGGCCTGTTGAAACTCAGTGGCTTTGCTGCTGTGGCGGCTTTTTTTTTTTTTTTTTTTTTTTAAACACAATATATTTTAATTGTGTTTTTATTTTTTCGGGGGCAATCCCCCGTTTGAAAGTCGGCCAAAAACGAGTGCCTGTTTTTCTGCCTTGTGGTCTTCCTGGTGCACTGCAGTGGGTTTCCCTTTTGAGAGTTCGCTTTTGAACCGCCCCTCGTGGAGGTCTGGGTCGGCGAGAGAAGTGGAAACGTGTCGAGAAAAAGAACAAATGGTGAAATGGGTTTTGGTTTGTGCTAGCTGTTGGATGGAAGGGAGCCGTAGCGGAGCTGCGGGTATCCAAGTTTGCCTTTAAAGTGAAAGCTAAGGAGCTGCAAGGAGTTATGTAACGACATCACGTAGTTTGAGGCTCGTTCCCCCGTGCAGGCTGGTTGAAAGGGAAGCCAGAAGGAACATGTTGGGGGTGTTCAATGGAAACACATACCCGAATCATGAACATAGGTGACTTCAGAAGTGGGAATCATCAGGCCAGGGGTAAGATGGATGCATCTGACAAGCTTGCACGTGCTTTGTGAGGGATTCCACATTGTCCAACCGTTTCTGGAGGCGTTACCTTAAAAGGGTCTTTTTTGCGCTTACATGGTTGGACAGAGGGTGCTTTGCTCAGATTTTGACTAGGCTTCCCTTCGTGTCACTTCCTGAGCTTCTGGACTTTAGTCACTCTTTGGGTTTGGACCAACGTGGCCAACCAAAAGTCCAGATCCGGATCCCCCAAACCCAAGACAGTAATTGCCTGCATAGCTTATGGCAAGCTCTGGGGGTAAAACGGAAAGATCCTGTGCTCGGGGATCCAATTCTTATTTCAGGTCTGGAAATATCGTACAATCTACAGAATTATGGGGTATAAAGTCTCTGCGTTTGCGTGTCTCTGTGTCTCTGTGTCTCTGTGTCTCTGTGTCTCTGTGTCTCTGTGTCTCTGTGTCTCTGTGTCTCTGTGTCTCTGTGTCTCTGTGTCTCTGTGTCTCTGTGTCTCTGTGTCTCTGTGTCTCTGTGTCTCTGTGTCTCTGTGTCTCTGTGTCTCTGTGTCTCTGTGTCTCTGTGTCTCTGTGTCTCTGTGTCTCTGTGTCTCTGTGTCTCTGTGTCTCTGTGTCTCTGTGTCTCTGTGTCTCTGTGTCTCTGTGTCTCTGTGTCTCTGTGTCTCTGTGTCGGTGTTTGTGTGTCTCTCACCCCCTGAATGCAAAGGCGAAATGACAAGGAACACCACCATTTTGGGGTCTAAAGAAACACACACTCAAATAGTATATATATATATATAAAATGTGTTTTGTGCGTTAAGCCCAAAGTATCATGGGGAAATTTGTGTGTAATCATCTAGCCAATGCTCGGGAAGAAGCCCACAAAAGGTTCTGGTTTCAACCATGGGTTTCATTTTGTGCGAAGGGATTCCGCAACCATCCACAGTAAATCCAGAGGCCAGATAAATCATCAACCCTAAGGGTCCTGATGGATGTTGCGGCCTCAACAAATGTCCTTGCACACCCCTACAGCAACTCAGGGCGTGGTACGGGGGACCCCCAGGTTCACACAAAGCCCCGATCGGAGCCTTGGGGAATGTCAGAAGCCGGTGCCTGGCGCTTGAAGCGCCGCCCTCCGGTTCTGGAGGCGAAGAAGCTGTCGGCCGCGGAGTCGCGCCTAGCGCTGGAGCAGGCGGCGAGGGGGGGGGGACGGTTTGGGAGGGGTAGGTCTGGGGTCGGCGCCGATTTGGTGATTTAGCTGTAAGTCAAAAATGGGGTAACCCCAAAATGGGTTGTCCTGGTAAATGGAAACATGGACTAAAACCTGCGGTCCATTTCCTGGTGGTTTAATTTCGACCCATACCCATTTGGCCATGGGTCATAAGCTATGCCTCCATTTTGGGGCGGCTGAACATTCATGTACCACCTACCATTTTGGTGAAGGTGGGGACCCCCCGAGATGGAAGGAATTCGCAACGGCGGTTTCCTTTTGGTTTTGCCTTATGAAGCCACAAAAAACGGGTGGGGGTAATCGGTGATCAGAGTTGAACCCACGTTCGCTTGGAAGTTGAAGGCTCTTGGAAGCTCTGTGAAGGGACACCCGACTGGTCAACAAGTCATGGCAGACTGGCAGACCGGACCAGATTCAGTTGGCAATCGATGCACGGCGACTGTCCTGGGGTTTTCCTTTCCCGGTGGCCCATTCATCAATGGGCGAGGGACTGGGACAAGAACACCCCCCCCCAAACCTGTTGCCAGCGTCGGGTTCCTTGATTTTTTTTTTTGGGGGGGGTTTTGGTGACGTGTGGATCGGGTGTCCATTTCGCCCACGAAAAGTGGTCCACTTTTCTTGGTGGCTCCCAGCCATCCGGTTCCTTAGCTTTTGAGCCTTTTAGTGTTTAGTGGTATAGTTTCCATTTAACCCACTAAAACTGGGATCTGAGGGCCCAGTTTTAAGGAAAGCAACCGGTCTCCATTTGCAATTCTGCCAAAAAACAACGCCCCCCGGCGAGTCCACGGCCGTGTGGTCTTGTTTTGGGGGTGCCCGTTTTTTTTGGGGAGGGGGGTCTTCCAGGGAAATGCAAAAGGAAGCCCGACCGCCAGTTTGGGGTGGGGTAAAGGAAAAGCTTGGACGGCGTTTTTAAAGGAGTGACATGCAACCTCGAAGCGGGGGCATCTCCAAGAATCATGGAAGCTGAGCAGAGGGTATTGGAAGTCGATGTTTTCTTTTGGGGAACGCCGAACCCCCCCTGACCCTTTGCTTCCCCAGGTTTCCCTTTTAGAACCGGCAAGTCCGGAAACCCGGGTGTGAAGAGTCGGTTTTTGCCGTCAGGCGGCCACATCTGGAGGCAGGGCTCGAAATGGGTTTGTGTATGGGTCAAGTCTTAAGCCACCAGGGAGCAGGTTCCATTTACCAGGGTCCATATTGGGGTTACCCTATTTTGACCCACACCCAAATGGGTTGCCACATCGACAACGGGTTGTTCAGTCTGGAAAATACAAGCAACTTGTACACCGGGACTTCTTGCGATCTCCACACCTCGCTGAATAAGGGCCAAAGTCGAAACAAGTCATCTTTTCTGGAAAGCCTTTCGGTGATCAACGTGTAGGGATCCCTCGCAAGGGGGCCAGAAGGTGAATCCGAAGCTGGTGGCAGACAAGTATGCTTGCCAAACACCGCTTGCGTTAGCCATGGGTTTCGGGTTTCTCGTTGCCAAGGTTCTTGATAAGGTAATTGGGAAGATCATTGTTCGGGCCATCTGTAATGGGACTGATGTGGGCAACTCTCCGTTGCTTGATTTCTTGATCATGTCTGTTTGCTGCAGTTTTGCAGACATGTCCTTTGACATTAGGCCCAATATGTAGAAGTTGTTTGGGGCGTTGGTTGCCAACCACGGGTCCACCGGCGGGAGCATCTATTTTGTGAAGAGCAGGATTGCTGAGAACGGAGACGGAATCAATCCTTCAGCTGAGGCGTTCACGATGACGGAAATTGTTGGCTGTTCGTGCCAAAAGGGGGCCATGAACCATCGAGAATGAAGAGTTGTTGGCTTCTCATGGTTTTTCCCACGCGCTTTTGGTGCAAAAGAAGGGGTTGTAACACCACGAAGCAAAGGCCACCAACCCTCTCAGGCCCTTTACAGGGGCGAAAGCCACAACTTTCGAACTCCAATCCCAAGCAAACTCGCCTGAACATGCCGGGTCGGGGGGCGGTTGAACAGGCAAACGGCCATGCAACACCGGAGGCCACACCCGCAGAAGCAGGCGAGCCGTAGATGATCGTTTCTTGGGGCTAGAGCTCAGTCACCAGTAGAAATGCTCCTCAATATTAGGCCCGGCGCTTTTGACATTTTTGGGTATGGTTTCAAAAAGAATCCAAAAGGAACCCAACTCCCAGGATGAGATTCTGAACTTTGGAGCAAATCCTAGCGAAACGGAAGCTGCGGATGGATCCTGCTGGATCGATTTTCAGCAGGAAGCTATCAGAGCCTCACAGCGGACCAGCGGGGCATGGTAAACAGCTTCTTCTTCCCAGACGAGGAGGACTGACCCGCGATTTTCGTTGTTCAGAGTGTTTGCCTTTCGGATCAACCAAGACAAGGTGCCGAGTGGTTGGCATTGCTGCTATTTCATGGTTGTTGTTGGGAAACATTTTACATCTTTGCTTATTGTGGTTTAGTGGGAAATCCCCACTGAACTGCTAAGATTTGAAGATTTTTGCTCCCCTTCCAACGTCAACCAAGATTTCGTTGAAGAGGGGCAAAGCCCTTTGAGCTCGGATGAAAACAGAGTGGGGTCTGGGTCTTCCACGGGTGCCATTTGCAACTTTCTTTGGGGGGAACACCCCGTTGAAAGTCAACTAGGCCTGAATGAGGCAAACTGACCACCATCGTTGACTCGTTATTGTTGTTGGCTTCCTTGTAAAACAACATATACCTTTGGTGGTTCTGTTTAAACCACCGTGAATCCCAGTTACTCATTGCAGTGCGTAGCCAGCTTATTTGCCTCTTCCTTTTTTTAAAGCGCGGTTCCCTTGGTTGCCCTCTAAGATGAAAACCAACAAACATGTCCAGAATTCCTATCTCTTCCTTGATTTGTTCCAATAAAAAATAGCACCACAAGAAATGTAAGGCCAACTTTAGTCAGTTTTCATTGGAACAGTTGGCTTCACCTGTGAGTTTTATGTCAGTTGTCTCACTTGTTCCGATTCGGTCAATGGATCCACAGGTCTTGGCTTTTGGGCTCGCCCGGTAACGGGATGCGGAAAGGAGCTGGACATGGACAAGTCCATGCCCTTGGAGGCGTCCGAACGGGGGGAGGGGAGGGATGCCGAGGACTCGTTGGTTTAGGCGGTCGGGGAAAACCGGAAAAAGGGGAGGGGAGGGATGCCGAGGACTCGTTGGTTTAGGCGGTCGGGGAAAACCGGAAAAAGGGGAGGGGAGGGATGCCGAGGACTGGTTGGTTTAGGCGGTCGGGGAAAACCGGAAAAAGGGGAGGGGAGGGATGCCGAGGACTGGTTGGTTTAGGCGGTCGGGGAAAACCGGAAAAAGGGGAGGGGAGGGATGCCGAGGACTCGTTGGTTTAGGCGGTCGGGGAAAACCGGAAAAAGGGGAGGGGAGGGATGCCGAGGACTCGTTGGTTTAGGCGGTCGGGGAAAACCGGAAAAAGGGGAGGGGAGGGATGCCCCAAAGGCCCAAAGTTCTGCGAGAACTTTTTCCTGGTGGATGAAGAAAAAGAAATAGGAATCGGAGCCCCGGATTCTGCGAGTTTTCCTGCTGGTGTCCCTCAAGAAACCGCAAAAAAAGGCCACGCCCCCAAGGTGCCCTTTCTCACCCGTTTCTTTTTTGGTGGGGAGGGTTCCCCTACTAAAATTACAAAAAAGGGGTACCCTTCTTCTAACCTCTCTACTTCAAGAAACTACAAAAGAGAGACCGGTACCGGCTCCAAAGGCCATGAGTCCCCCTGATTTGGGGGTCTCCACTTAGCCTGAAGTGGGGTGTCTACCCTCCCATCCACATGGAACCCACCAGGTCCATTTCAAGGGACCATCGTCTTCCGGGAGCCCTCAGTCAGGTTTTTTTGTTAGTGGATGGGAGGGTACCCAGATATTTTGGGTGACCCCTGGTTGAAAGGCTCCACGTCAAAAAAGGAGACGATTTGAACAAAACTTGGGGCCTCCCATCATCGTGGTAACCAGGAGCCCCAACAACAGACGGTACGAACTCCAGAAAGCACAACGCCCAGGTGAGCCACTTGTTCAAAGCCCGGGTAGATGAAGGTTAGTAGGGGACAATCCCAACCACAAATAGCTGCGGCCGCCTTCCTAATTCTTCACATGGTTCTGGGTAGACCATCTCAATACCGGGCTTTGATTATGACTCAGGTGTCTTTTCATGGAGAGGACTCTTTCTAAGACGGAAGGCGATACTTTTAGGTAAACCAAAGCGCAGTGGTAACATGAGATGCGCGATGGGTCAATGTTAGGACTTTAACTTTTTGCCAACTAATGAGTTTTCCATTAAACCACTAAAAGTTAAACTTTTAGCAGGGGAGCAGAAAGCAACCGAGGCATGATTCCTGTTACGGGAGCCGGCCGAAAAAACACGGAGTTTCTGCCATGGCTCAGGTTGTCGACGTTCCCAAAAACTGATTCAGATTCCCCTTGCCGCCGTAAACGGGCCATCATTGCGCACCTTCAAGGAAGACATAGATATGCCACGTGTATTGCTTTTGCTTGATGACAAGCATAGTCCATTTGGTTCACATAATATGGGCACATAGTTATTGTCCTCAAAAAGCACAAACACATGCGCACGCATCGCGTTTTTGTTGTCACCGCGGATTACTTACCAAAGTCCAAGGACATGTCGGGACCATCGAAACGAGCGCTGATCGTGCCTCATGTTTAGGGGTGTTTGTACATTCCCCTTTTACATACTCCTTGGGAAAATGCCCCCAAAAGGCTGGTTGATGTTCATACCCCTCTCCCGAAAAGGGGTATACACCTCTTATAAAGCAGGGTGGTAACCAGGGAAGCCAAGGGGTATCCTAGAGCATATACAGTATTTGTTGCCATTAATAAAGGCACTGCATGATGCTGAATCGATTCTTGTCTCTGGACAGAAACAAACACACTGACACTTCCTCTCCCCAGGCATGCGGATACTGAGATAGACCAAAGGCGGTTCTTGGTTTGCTAGATTATCCAATTATTCTTCGATGTGCAACTGCTTAACTGCTTGCTTGCCCAAGTTGCTTTACATGTGTCCTGGCTTTTTAAGACTGGCAAGTCACGCGCTTGCTGATGGATGCAGACCGAGCATGGATGGGACAGTTATTGAAGCAAACGCAGGTTTCCTCTAAAAGGCTCCGGAGTTGTGAACGAAGGACCTCACTTCAGCCGAGGTCCTTGTCCCCAGATAGAATGTTCAAGTCTCCAACTCCTCTTCTGTTTCTTTTGAGAGGGAGGTACGGGTCCCAACAGTTGTTCTTTTCCCGCTAAACATACCCATAAGTTCCAAAGGGACCCCTCCTGTCCACATTCCCGACCAGACAACCAACCCCACCCAGAATCCAAGAAAATCAGAGTGGCCTTTTGAAGGCCTCTTGAGGCCCTCAAGGGTCCTTTCCTTCCTCGAGCAAAATCCGCATCGACGAGCTCCTCGAAGCGCTTCGCGCCATGGTTCGCTGGTGCTGCCCTGCGGGCAAACGAGGCGGGGACGGGCGGCTCAGCTTCCGCCCTGCCTCCAAAGGCGGGGCTCGGCGGCGCGGCTCGGCGGTTTTGGGGATCGGGTGGGGAAGGATGGGTCTGTCTCGTCTTGGTGGCGAAGCCAGCCATCCGGTTGCTTAGCTTTTTTTCGCCTTTTAGTGTTTGTTGGCAGTTTCCATTTAAACCACCAAATCTGAGGGCAGCCCAGTCGTTTTTTGGGATTCGGCCCCCCAAAATGGCGCAACGGGTTTTCTTGTGGTTTCCCTTTGAAAGCCACAAAGAAGGGGTATGTAGCCTGAAAACAAGGCACACACACAGATGGGCTTCATGTTGACCCCGGATTAATCGACCTCCAGGGGTTATGAACCCCCGCTAAAACCAAGGACACTCCCATATCAATACATAGGTTTGTCTTTTTCTGACGGTACCTGTTTTTGGAAGCCAAAAAGGAACCAACAGAAACACGCGCCCAAGTATCGGTTTATGAATCCTGGAGTGTCCTTCTAACCCTGAAATGGGGCTGTGACTCACCTGGACCCTCTCAATACCCCCACAAACAATTTTGCTTGGTAAGAATTCTCCCTGTTTAATTCTGAGGGCCCAGGTCATTCATTTCCGCGCTTGGGGATAAAATACATATTTGCTTGGTAAAAAACAAACATATTCTTGGGTGGTTTGAGGGCCCAGGGAAACTCAACGAACCTATGACCGGCGCGCGGAAACGCGCTTTTAACAGGGCGAAGGGTGAATTCGCCTGTAAATACCATGACCCTTTTTATGCTTGGTGAATCCCACCTGTATTTTGAGGGCCCAGGTAACCTCCACCTATGACCGGCGGAAACCGCGCGCACCCGAGACCCCGCGAGAGTTGTTCCGCGCCAGGGGACGCGGAGCTCGGGGCCTTGGTGCGGAGCTTCCGGCCCAGCTTGACGCCCAAGGAGGTGCTGCACGCGGGCGCCTTCGGCGGGGGGCCCTGAGCGAGCGAGTTGGAGAGGGACTTGCCATGGGTTGCTTCTGGGTGAGACGAAGTCATACAGGGCAGAAGCGAAGGGCGGAGAAAAACAGACCAGAGCTGCAAGAGCGACTTGTTGGCAAGAAGACTTCTCGAGTTTGTGGACTGGGGTCACTTTTTTGGGCGCCATTTTAGTGGCGAGCAGAGAGTTTGGGGACTTTGCCAGCTTAGGCTATCACTTGGAACTCTGGTTATAAGTTCTAAGTAACGTGTTAGGTCTTTGGACGTCCATGGAACTCTGGCAAGACTGCGAGGTGAGCTGCGTACTGTCAACTTTGGATCGATCAACCCCGTGGATCAAATAGAGGGCTGTGCCAGCTGGCCCTCCCCCAACCCCCCCTCCGGAAGTTTGCTTTCATTTTCCCGAATGCGTAGCGAAGGGTTCCCGTTTATAAGTGGGGGTCTGGGGGTGGAGACCGTGTTCGCGAGGAGTTGCTCCAGAGTTCGCAACCGTTCGCAACCGTCCGCAAGCGTCCGCGGTGAGGCGATAAGCGTGTGCCATTGGGATTCGTCGTGGAAGCGTGTTTTTGATGGATCGGCAAGCGCTGTTTTCGTTTGCAACCAAAGAAAACCACAATCACGACGACAAAGAGTTAACGCAGTGACACTTTCCGGAGCACCCGTCACTTCCTACACAAACGACGACACCTCAGAAGACCAACCCATAATCTTCGACAACGAAGGTTACGACGAAGCACAACTACTGGAAGGAATGAAACACGAGTCAAACCAAATGAAACCAATTACATGACGTCTACGACGAAGTAGATGCGTCTACAGTCGACGACAAAGTCGTCAAAGAAGCAATCCCTACAAGGTGGCCCCACAGAAAGAAAGGACCAGGCGTACGAAGTAGGATCGTCGCGAAAGGCTACACCAAGAAGATTGAGGACGAGAAGTCCATCTACGCCTCCACACCAATGTTCACGACGCTACGGCCACTTCTCGAGCTACAGATGTGACTACCAAACTGGATCGCGCAACTAGGCGACGTCTCTACGGCGTTTCTATACGCGCCCATCGCAAAAGACCACGACGGCAAACAACGCTACGTCTACCTTTGGCCACCTAAAGAACTTTGTCCACTGCAGAACAAACTATGGCGGCTAAAGAAAGCCATGTGCGAACTACGCAGCTCGCCTAAAGCATGGCAGGACTACCTGGCTGAAGTACTACAGAAGCTCAACTTTGTAAAGCTAAAGAAGTCAGAACCCAAGACTACACGTTGCAACTCGCGACTGTTGGTACTTGGCGGCAAGACTACTGTCGACTCCATCTTCGAGGCCATCCAGCAGGTACTACTCAAGCGCATTGGCTACCTCGAGCCTGGCAAACCACAACAGTTCCTGGGAGGAAACATCGAGCGCTTCGACAGCTACTGCATTCTTGGACTTCAGGACTCCTACATTGGCAACATGATCGAGGAGGCTGGAATGACCAACTGCAACAACAACAATAAAGGATGAAGCGCAACTCGACCACGAACAACACAAAAGGTACAGAAGAATTGTTGGTAAACTTCAATGGTTAGCGCACACAAGACTAGACATTGCCTACGCAACAAAAGAACTAGCTCGAGACCTCGCAGCACCTACAGAACTTTCACAAAAGAGAGTCAAGCACCTACTACGCCACTTGCGCGGCGCCAAACACTACAAATTCACCATAGAACCAACAACAACACTAAGAGCAAACACCAACAACATCCTGGATCTCGACGTTCATGTCTCTTGGAACAGCAGTTGCGTTTGGCAGCAGAACACAAACTACAATTGAGCTCTAAGCAGTTTGCGCAGACTTTAATGAGGGGCTACACCTCAGAAACCTCCTACTCGAAACAGACAGTTGCAGCAAGCTAAATCTACGCATTCACACAAACCCCACAGCAGGCAAGAGCATTGCTGCACGACAAGGCACAAGCAAACGAGCAAAACACATCGACCTCAATGTCCTCCACACACGAGACCTCATCAAACACGACATCATAAGGATCCTTAAGACCAACACACTCCACAACAGCGCAGATTTGTTTACCAAATACATCAGCAAGAAGCAGCGCGCAGATGTGTTTACAAAACCCCTGCCAGTGTGCAAGCGGGACGCATTAAACCCACTCAGCACGGCGTCCGAAAAGCTCAACTTTATGTGTGCAATCTTGTGAAGCGATAGCGCTCCGGGCCATGTAGGCAGGGTAGTTCAATAACTATACCGGACACGCGTGCCGTAAATAGACTTGCCACCGGAATCCGTGATAGCTTGTGCTGCTTCTTTTCTCCGGGGTGCTAAGGTTGACGCTGACAACAATCCGTCAGTTCGCTAAGGCTTACCCGGTTACATTTGGCCCAAGGCAACAAAAAGAGAGCGCCTGCGCCTTTGGTCCGCCATTTGCAGCATCACTTGATTTTGTCTTGAACCTCACATTCGTCTGAAGCCAGCCATTGTTTTGGCGGGCGTTTTCACTACATGTCGGACAGTGGCAGGTGTGGTTCCAGTGTAGCAGGCTGGTGTTTGAAGCCTTGCGCAGAGAGCCTGCGTGTGTCTGCTGCGCCTACTTTCATGATACTTGGGCTGGTTCCTGTTTCGCATTTCGACGGCTGTTTGGGGAGTCTTGTCGGTGTAGCTGTTTTAAACGTACTGTCGGTGTAGCTGTTCGACTTGCTTGAACCACAGACGCCTGTTTAAACTGGTGCCTCGATCTCGTGTTCAGCCGCCCCCTTCAATGGCCCAGGCCGGACACGTCTTTGTTTTTCCAGTTTTCAGAGCCACTTCTTGGAAGGTCTATCCGCTCAGATTCCGCCAGCCATCCAGCAGGCCGAACATGACTTACACAACCAGCGCAACTCCTGCGGACCTACCAGCCCAGAATGGGATGATGATGAAGATGATGATGAGGGTGATGATCAATGATGCTGATACTGATGACAATGATGATGATGATGAGAATGATGATGATGAGGATGCTGATGATGATGATGAAGGATGGATGATGACGAGCAATGATGGCGATGAAGGTTGATGATGGATGGTGATTTTTTTGGACCCCCGAAAATCAGTGATGATAATCACCAGTGCGCGTCCCCAGCATGACGACAATGATGACGATGACAATGAGCGTGATGGTGCGGCTGCTCATCCCCAACACCAGTGATGATGATAATAATGATGATGACAGTCATCACTATGCATCCCCAGCATCACCAGCAAGCAGGCATCATTTGCGTCTCAGGTCAGGTCTTGACATGTGTCAAACAGATAAGGACGACGATGATAACGATCATGAGCACCGTGATGAGACCAGTGATGATGGGTCAACAGGTACACTTAAAGAAAAGGTCAACAGGTACACTTAAAGATAAAGGTGACGATGATAATGGTGATGCTGGCGGTGCCTGCCGGTAGATCTGAAATTTACGCAGCGTCACCAAAATATATATCAAAAAGAATAGGACAGCAAGACAAGCTGCTGGCACGATCAATCTAGTTTGATGATCACCGTGGGGATGACCATGAGGATGATGATGAGCATCATGATGATGATGATGTTGGTGATGATGAGCCCTCAGTTCTGCTCACGTCCCATTCCCGCGCGCCTGCCTGTGACGAGGGGCCGGCGGATGTCTAGTGGAAGTGTGGGTGGCCGTGAGCTGAGGAGTGTTTTGCCTCCCTCGGCCGCTCCTTCCATGTTGGCGAGGCGCTTGGTCAGCAAGGTTACAAATACAATTCTGCAACGTGGTAGGAGACAGCGCGATCATGGGTGAAGGCAGCAGATTCCGTCTTTAGCATCCAGCTAGATCGGACTGGGCGCAGTTGTGGTTGACCCGGGCGCGACCGAGATCTTGTATCTTGGCGTTTGCCCGGCAAGTAGGGGAAGGGGTTGGGGCACCTCCTCGCCCTGACGGGCGAGGGCTTGCTCAACTCCCTTGGACACGCAAGTGTCCGCATCGCGCCTGGGCTGCTTGTTTTGCATTTTTGCACTTTTGTCAAGCTCGGTTGCACGAAGCACAAGTGAAACACCACGTTTTCCAGTCAGAAGTGAACGATGTATCGCAAGATTGCTACACCACTGGCGTCAAGGGACCAGAGTCCAACTTCTATGGGGACAGTGATGCAACTTTGCGTGCTACTTTCGGACTTAAAAGTTGCAACTTCCCAGGCGGAGCTGCGAAAAAGCACGTCGCGAAATACTTTCGCACGGCTGGCTCTAACGGAGACCAGGCGTGCTTCAAGGCCTCTCGCTTCCAAAAACAAGCGCGCGAACCACGAGACAAACTTCAAAACTGACACCTTTCTTGCAGCTGAGGGCGCTTTGTACTTTTTGCGGCTCGCGCGACCCGCTGCAGAGCGTGGTTGATCGCACGAAATGCCAGGAAAACAGTACCTCTTTCTATCTGGGGCACGGGCTTGCAAGTTTGTCTCGTGGTTTGCGCGCCTGCTCCCCAGGCTCGAAACCCGCTTGATGCCCGCAGCTTCTATGACAAAAATCCAATAGCCCCGACGGCTCTGGCTGGAAACGCGCAACTTTTTTCCTGTGAAGCGTTTGTACGGAAGTAGTATGCAAAGTTGCGTCGAAAGGTTGCTGTGTTCTGGCCAGCGCTGCGTTTAGAGAACTTGCTCGTAGAAACTTGCTCAAAGAACTTGCTCAGAAAAACTCGCGCCAGCAACTTGCTCAGAGGATTTTGCGCAGAGAACTTGCTAGGAGAACTATTGCTTCGGGCGCGGCCTGCCGATGTGGGTTGTGTTAAGTTCATCAGACTACAGGCGGGCTTTTCCGGAGCCGCGCTTGTGCCAAGGTGCCAAGGGGTGCTGCTGCCTTTTGGTTTGGGCGCAGCTACTTCGGCAGTGGCGGCCATGTCACTTCGCCGATGGTGAAGGACGTGGCTGTCCCACTGCCAACCCTCGTGCGGCGCCCGCAGCAGGAGCTGCGGTTCGGCCATGGCCTTGTTGAATCCTGGATGAATTGTCGGA